GGTTATTATTCGAACTAAGCTTGAGTAGGTGTTTAAGAGGATGTCCAGAAGTGTTAAGAATACTATAAGCCATTAATAAATCACCTCTAAGACGCCTATACTCTAATGGGTAAAGGTCTAGTGAATGGAGGCGTTCTTCGTAAGGCTTAGATTTGAGTCCACGAACTGATTTCGTGGCTCGCCGTTGGATACGCTCCAAAGTGATCTTGTCCTTTTGGAGTGAGGGGGGGAGTACTATATTTGCGTACTCTAAATGGGGACGGATAAAACTATTGAAGATTGTATGGAAAGTTCTTCCGTCAAACTGGCCAAAAATGCGCTTCAATGTTACCAGTGCAAGGTTAGCTCGGAAGGCATTTTTGTCACAATTAGCGTAAGACTTTAAATCATGGGGCACCGGGACTCCTAAATCTTTTTCGACTTGGGATACTACTAGAGAGGAATTTCTTAAGTTATAACTGTAGTCTGCGACATGTCGCAGATGGACTACTTTACACTTTGAAGTGTTAAACGTAAGTCCGTTATCGTCTGCCCAACTTTGAAGTCGAGTCAGATCCTCCTGAAGTGCCTGTGTATCGTCTTGGTTGCGTATCTCTCTCCAAAGTTTCACGTCATCGGCAAAAAGTAGTAAGTTTGACGTTACCTGTTGAGTAAGATCGTTTATGTAGATCAAGAAGAGGAGAGGCCCTAATACTGAGCCCTGGGGAACTCCACTAGGACATTCCATAGCCTGAGATAAAGTGAAATTAACCCTAACCTTAAAGTGTCGATTTCCTAGGTATGAAGTAAGCCAATCGATTAGAGGTGGTTTGATACCTAGTCGTTTGAGCTTGTTGATAAGACACAAGTGGTTAACTTTATCAAAAGCTTTTGAGAAGTCAAGGTATATGATATCAACCTTTCCCTTGCGATCGAGGATGCTTGTCCATCTGTTCACCGCAGTCAGCAGGTTGGTTATACAAAAGTAACCCTTCCTGAAACCATGCTGTTCGGGTGAGAAGAAGTTTAAGGACAGTAGATAATCGTTTAAACCATCGCATATCAGGGACTCCATGAGTTTTGAAGGTAATGACAGAAGAGCCACAGGCCGATAACTTGAAGGTTCATTGCGTCGACCCCCTTTGAAAATTGGTGTGATGTGAGCCAACTTCTAATTTTCCGGTAATTTGCCTTGACTTAGCGAGTGTGAAAACATCACGCTAAGCGGCGTTGCCAGGATTGAGGCTGCCTCCTTCAGTATGGCAGAATGAACCATATCCGAGCCAGGAGAAGTATCTAGTCTTAAGTGCTGCAGTTTCCGGAACACCAAGTCAGCGCTTAGGTCCACTTCGGAAAGCCCTGTGGAATTACAGGTGAAACTGTCGTCAATAGAGTTGATGTCAGCCGGCTGAAATGTTTGAGAGTAGTGTGCCGCCAGAAGGTTAGCGGCGTCACCATCGTTGTTGGCTGGGCCATTAAGACCTAGCAGTTGAGAAACTCCTGTTTTGGCTTGACGAAGAGAGGCTGCATAACGGAATAGGCTTCTAGGATTAGAGGCAAATTTGTCCATAAGCTTTGTCTGATAATGAAGCCTGTCTTCTCTTATAGTCTTCGTGCATATGTTCCTGATATGTTTGAATTGCCTATACGCTCCGTCGTTGTCAGTTCGTTTGTATTCCGCCCAACAGTGTCTTTTACGGCTTAGCAGGCGAAGGGTACGGTTCTTGATTATTGTAGGTGGCTTACAGCTTTTGGGACCCGTTTGAGGAACTGAATGGTTTGTAGCACATAAGAGCGTGTGCAGTAAGAAGTTCCAGTGACCGTCCACATCGAGTTGGGGGTGAACATCCCAAACCACCTGTTGTAAATAGTCGTGTAGAGCTGGCACATTCAGCCGTTTAAAATTCCAACGCAAGTTATTGTTGGGATACCTTAGCTTAGTTTTGGTGACAAAACTGAAGGCTATGACGGCATGATCGCTCTTTCCCAGAGGAGCCAAGATTGAGAGGTTGTCAACTAGGAATTCTTCGTTTGTGAATACACAGTCTAACCGCGATGGTGTCTGACTGTTTCTCCAACGAGTTGCCGACCTCACATTTTCATATAAGCCCAAGTCATCAATGAGGTTGAAGAACCGAGCTTCAATTGAGTTGTCGCCTCCAGTGTACGTGTGTTCCGCGAAGTTGACTCTAGGGAAATTAAAGTCCCCTAGAATCAGGATGTGTGTGAAACCGAGACGGGCAGAGCGGGATAGTCCACCCATCATACGACTATCGTACTCGATGTCAGCAGTTGGCCTCCTGTAAATGACACCGACTAGACACCTCGAAGAGCTAGACAATCTTACAGAGCACCATATGGATTCCTCAAAATTGTTAAACTCGAGGTTGTGAACTTGGTGCACCTCCAAGCAAGAGCTTATGTATATGGCTACCCCACCCCCAATTCCTGTTGTTCTGTCGTTGCGGAACAAAGTCATCCCTGGTAATGCTAACTCTTGGTCCGAGAACTGAGAAGATATCCAGGTTTCAGATATTCCTATCAGGTGGGCCTTATTAGCGTTGCAAAGTTCACGTAATTCATCCAGTTTGTTTGGTAGACTCGAGGCGTTCATATATAAGCAGTTTATGCTTTCAATTTGGAACGCGTGAGCTTCGTCCTGTTTTTCTGTATGAGCCTTATGTGAATGGACAGGTAGCCCACCCATGTGAGGTTTACCGAGGTGGTAGGACCTGTCCTTTACACGTTTTTTTATCGTTTAGACAATCCACAAGTGGAATGGTCAGCTCCAACTTGCCTTTGTTCTTGATCCTGGCTTCATATGGCCTGTCCGGGTGCATGTGGATTGCAGGTGACAATCGACGTCTGTTGGCACGAAATGCTTCCAGAACTGCAGCCGCCATGTGGGAAGATGGGAAGGTTATCTTCATTAGACGAGGTCTAAGATCACCGTCCTTCTTGGCTAATCTCGTCACATGCTGAGTCAGTATGTGTTTGAGCCTCAAGGACTGTTTGATGAATTTCCATTCCCTGATGTCAGAATTTGATTGAGTAGGGTCTGCATTCTCCGGTACACCTTGCACAATTATGTTTCTTCCGCGGAAAAACTTCTCACGAGATTCTTTAGGGATGTTACGTATGATATTGCGCTCAGAGAAAGGTATATCGGGCAATATTCTTATGTTACCATCTGATTTCAGCAAGTGACTTGCTAGTAAGACGTCCTCAACATCAGTAGCATTCTTAAGTGATACTCGGAGAAGCCATGGGTGATTTAGATGCTTAGAGTCCTTTCCTCTAGAGAGCCGGGTGACCATCAAAGGCTCTATTCTAGGAAGTTCTAGCTTCTTGTTCAATTCGCCCCAAAGCATCCTGTCGTTTTTGTCCTGCAGACTGAGAGGAAGGTCAGGATTATCAACGAGGTTCATGATAATGAGAGAGTCGTCACGAACTGTTGTTAATTTACCAGGTTTCACGGCGGGTTCATGTTTAATGACTTGCTGTTTGGAGGTCAGTGTGCGTTTATGAGGCTTGAGCTCTTTTTTGACCGGACGAACAGTCTTGGGAGCAGACTGTGCGACCAAATCACCAGTTAATTTCCGTACAGCAACACTTGGGTTGCTCGGCTTAGGCGGTGATGCCTGGTTCTTTTGGGCTTTCTTAACTTGGGTCGAATCACCTACAGGGTTTTTGGGAACCACTGTTGAGTTCAGGGACCCTGAGCTGGGAGACCCGAGTTTGCTTAGGGAGTCTAATACCTTCGACGTAATGATGGTGCTGAGCCTCGACACGTCATCATTAGTGTTAATGGATGTTCCATCGATGGTATACCTATCGACATCCCTGTTTTTGTATCCGTCGCACGCTCTTGTTTGTCTACCGGTTTTCTTACTGTCGTTGTCCAAGTTAACTGACAACTTGTTCCGAAGACCTGTCAGTAGGACAATGATGTTACTCAGCAAAACTACAGCTGTAGTGAACAAGAACACGGGTGGGGACAATCGAATGTATTTAGCTCGAAAATTACAGACTATCTCAACAAAATCTGAATACCATAAAGTCAATCGTCAATTTGCAAATTATCAATACATCATATCAAACTGTACTGTTCAAGCTGCAAACACTAATCCATTGTCTCCCATTCCATTGTTCATAAGTTTTCTTACAAATTCCATTATGTTCTTGCTCCACCTTTCTTGGTCTTCGCCATCTTTTGCTGCCGAGCATTACGTTCTTTTAACGCACGTTATATACTACTTATGTCAATATAAGTAGCTCACACCACACAGCATCCGTGCTGCACGTGACACATACCCATTTTTGGTCTGATTTGCTTAGTCTGTTGTAAGCAGTTGATGTCAGATCTGTGCATGCTTCGTGGAACCAACCTTTGCAGTTGTCGCACTGCATGCCAGTTGCAACAGCAAAACGGCATCCCGGACGTTTGCATGAGTTTTTCATGACTATGTTGAAGCAAACTATGTTATAGATGCTTGCAAGAGCCTAAGACCTTTAAAAAACACTAAAAAGCACACTGAAAACGGACAAAAATGGATAAAACGAGTGTTATAAACTGAAACTAGTCTATACGTGAAAAACAAAAACAAACCGAATAGTAAACTGAGGCAAAACCACAGGTAACTATTAAATATGGTGAAACTCAAAAAAAATAGTAATCTACCGAACGTATAGCTCAGGATAGATTCTTTAGAACTGAAATGGTACTTTTGTTGCGTAAGAACACAGCAAAAGTTTGATAAATGCAAATCACGTTAGTACTAAACTTCCCGTTCGAAAAGCGCGCGTTAAGGTCAATGAGAATGAAGGTGCCACAAGACAAAATTAAGCGAAATTCCTAATCTTAACTGAAATACTTGGAATTAAAGTAGACGAAGAATGCTTTTTGTTTCGACAAGTACATAAAAGCAATAACAATCACAAGCACTAAACCACTGCCCTTTCTGGACCGTGCGTGATTGTTCTTTGCAATGATTTTGTGGTTTTGATGCAAGAAAGGACCAATTTATTCTAAGAACACTTAATATTCGTGCAACCCAATGGACACTCAGCAGATTCACGGCGATTGAATTACGAAATAACCGCCTCATGTGAGGCCTCTCAAGGTTGTTTAGACAAAACGACGGCGGCGGCTTTGAGTGGATTTGGCTTTTTTGCCGTGTTATTTACCGTCCCATTGGCAGTTCAGAAATATTCAAGATATTCAGTGAGTTTAGTTTCCAGTTTATTACGTAAAAGTATGGTATACACAGACATATATTTTCTTCACAGTACACGGTTGTTTCTTGGATTAGATTGACCCGTTTTTCACCTTGTAAATTCAATGTGGATTTTTATTTTATGTACATCATCTTGCGTGTCGAGTAGTATAGGCCGAAAAAAATCGATTAGTTTTTAAGCTACCGTGGTCTGTAAGTATTGAGATCCGGTTAGCTATTCTTTGTATACCCCAGACAACCCAAAAAGGGGGAAATAATGGGGAAATAAAGGGGTAAATGCTTTGGTGACGAAAGGGGAAATAAAGGAGAAAACGCGCCAGAATGTCGCCTCTTTCGCCTGTCCGGGGGAAATAATGCGGAATTTCCCCTTTTTCGCCTTTTTGTCGACAAATTACCCACTTATCGCCTAAATATCCGCCGAATGGTTGCATTTTCGCCTACATATCCGCAGAATTGTCGCATATCTGCCTAAATATCCGCCGAATGGTTGCATTTTCGCCTACATATCCGATGAATTGTCGCATATCTGCCTAAATATCCGCCGAATGGTTGCATTTTCGCCTACATATCCGCTGAATTGTCGCGTTTTTGCCTAAACATCCGCCGAATTGTCGCCTAAATATCCGCTGGTTTGTCGCATATCCGCCTAAATACACACATTACATCATGACATGTCAACTTTCCTATGCTACTAATAGTCCATTTAGTTATGGATAAAATGTGTTGCTTCTCATAGAGAATTGAGTTTTTCTTCAAACACCTGAGTGATTATCCACGAATAGTCTCTAAAATTCCAGTGACCACTTTATTTGCACTCACGGCAAGGTAATTTTCAGGCTTGTCCCGGGTTCTTGTCTTGGAATCAGGACAGTCTTCCTAGTCGCCTGGTTGTATGTTTCGGGCTACAGATATGTCTAAACACTACAGTTTAGGGATTAAAATTGCAAATATCTATAATAGCCTGAAAAATCTTTGGTCTGATTATGTTAATTTATTCCTATTCGTGAATGATCAATATGTGGTCAATCAACGGTGATTTTGTCGTGCCTCATCCCTTCCTTCACTTGTTGTAACAGGGTGGATATTGTAGTGGTATCGACTGGATTTTTACGTTTACGATGGGTGTGTTAAAGTCTCTTAAGAATAAATATATACCACTAGAAGACCATTCAAGAGGTTCTTTTAACAACGTATCATTTGCTTCTAAGTTTTGGCTGCAATAAACCTAACTAACGATTTTTATCATTTCTATTTTAAGTGGGAACTGGTTTCTTTACTTTCATTAGCTATCACCTTGGCAATTGTGAGGGGTATGTCATCTCTGATGATAAGGATTACTCATCGGTGTTTACGATTTGGAGTTCCCTCCACCCTTAGTGTTTTGACTTTTTCAAAGTCTAGCCCACTGTCGCCTGTCCTTTTAAAGAGCCGTTCAATCTTTGTTTTGGCAAGACATCAGAGAATTGGAATTCTGAGTTTACTCTCGATTTTATTGTAAACGTAGTTGATTTATGATAACTGTTAGATTCATGTAAATTATCATTTGGTTAGCATTTTTCGTCACAGTATGAGTATCATTTATATACCTCTTGTATAAATGGAGTATATGAATGTGTTCGAAGAACAGGATATTTTAGATTGGCCATGAAACGATTTGCTGTAATTATGCTCAGATGTGATCCCATATAAACTTCGTCGATTCACCGATTCAGCTCATCATTCAGACTGAATCGCACCTCGAAAGTGTAACATAAGAGTATTTATCCATCAAGGCTGTCCATTTTCTCCATTTTTGTTTAACTTAATTATAAACCTACTGACGGAAATAACGTTCTCGTCGACTGAATTCTCGGTATTGATGTCCTTCCAGGAGGTCCACTTATCGACTTATAATACGCAGATGACATAGTCCTGTTTGGTGGAGACGCTGACAAATTGCAGAGTCTTTTGGTAGCACTAAGCAACAATGTCAGAATGTTTGGAATGCGCTTCTTTCCCTCTAAATGCAAGTTGGTGCTTCAGGACTGGTCTGCGTCAACACCTGAACTAAGGATAGGGAGTGAAGTAGTCGAAGGCGTTGACAATTTCACTTATCTTGGAAGTCTGATCAGCCCTAATGGGTTGGTGTCTGACGAAATCTGAGCGCGGATTTGAAAAGTTCGTTTGGCTTTTGCCAACTTACGTCACCTTTGGCGAAGGCGAGATATCGTCTGTAGAGACTAGTTTCCTCTATATCTGACTCCAATAAGTAGTATCCCGTTAACTGAGTATTTAATGCAGGCTAAATCTTATAGTAGAATTAGGGATTTACTCGAGATTATTCAAAAGCCTGAACATCAGTTATAGAGATATTTTGTTGTTCAGGATCGGTAAAATCCGCAAGCGTACAGGAAACAAGCACACAGGGAAACCAAGAGTGTGTGTGAGTGTTGAAAATTCAAATATAGTTTTGAGTGTTAATCAAGTGTGGATAATTTATTGATTGTCTGTGTATTACAACCAATGGGAGAATAGATTAAAGATTGCTGTGCAGACATGTGCTCAATCAGACTCACACAGAAAATTTCATGGTGGATTAAGCGTGTAAATTACAGTAATTAGATAAATAATACAGTAGTTGAATGTGCTTACTACACGTCTATCAATTAAGGGACAAGTATACTGTGCAACAGTTCATTCTGTTCTACTGTACGCTGCGAAACGTAGCCATTAGGAGTAGAAGATACTCGTAAGCTACTAGTATTTGACCACGGATGCCTTAGAAATATTACTCTCATCTGATGGGATCACCAGTCAGTCAGTTTGTCTGTAATAACGTATAACTTCATACGTACGTACATCAGTCCGAGTTACCATACTGCGTTAGCACAGAGATTCAGTTGCCGATCCAAATCCCATAGTGGTAGAGGTAGTAAAAGTATAAGCAGTAGTCGAAAAGCGATTTGAAGGTGTTATTCAAGAAGTATAATCCAGTGAAATGAATTTGGAAAGAGAAAAAAAGAAACAAGGAGGAATCAGATTAGAATTTGGGAGAACACAGAATGGATGTACCTGCACCATTGCAAACTATTTTGAGCCATTTCACTCAAGGTCTCTAACCATCGGTTGCTATCATCACGCGGTCCCCAACCAGGTAGTCTACACCTACCAACATAACTCAGTCCACTTGTCACTGACTTCATGGACTTGTGCCATGTTTTGGTCTGGCCGCCCCTAGCTTTCTTCTAACCTACAACTATGCCACTTAACATTGCACGTCGGGGCAGTCGGTCATTGGGCATACGTAACACGTGTCCCAGCCATCTCAACTGATGAAGTTTCACTACTTTATCAATTGATTTGCCATGCTTACCTAGTACCCGTTTCCTAACAACTGTGTTACTTACTCAATGATCCCATGATATACGAGCAACGTTTCAAAGACACCTATGATCAAATACTAGTAGTCTACGAATATCCTCTACTCTTACTGGCCATGTTTCACTGCCATAAAGTGGGGCAGAACGAACTCTACTGTGACGTAAACCCGTCCTTTGGTTGATAGACGGATATCTCGCCCACGCCACAAATGACGCGAGTTGGCAAGAGCTAGTCGAGCCTTCTGTATCTGTGCTGAGATTTCGTCACACACCAGACCACAAGGGCTGATGAGACTCCCAAGATAAGTGAAGCAGTCGACACGCTCAACTACTTCACTCTCTACCATTAGTTCGGATGTTGATGCAACCCAATCCTGAAGCAATGACATCAGCATAAACGTCATATAGAAGTGAAGGGTTCGAATTTCTCCATATGTGTTTCACAGCTTGTCCTGTACACTTCGATGTTGATTGGTTCTTGTTGACTTTAAATTTGTCATTGTTTACTTTGTTTTGCTTTTGTTTTTCATTGCTTTGACTTTTGTTCCTATGTTTGTGCATAATTTTCCAACCAATCAGGAAAATTATGCAAAAACATAGGAACAAAGGCTCCACGACCAAACCATCCAGGTCATAGAACAAAACTCCATCAAAATCATCCACCTGAGCTACAAATCTTCACCATCTCAATGCCATAATAAGGCGGTTACAACCAATGTGTTTCAGAACGCAAGATTATGTTATTCATCATTTATTTAGGATTGATGATCGAAGTATTTTTTTGTTTTTATGATATTTTTAGTTTTACATTCTATTTCTGTATTTCTTGAATTCTTCCTTCTAATAAAGGTTTATAAAAAATGTTCCATTATTTTCAGACCATCTTGATGTTTCATGATCAAGTAGGCATTTTCAGCTGATCTCTCCCAATTCTTCACTTAACATACTATGTACTCAAGGCTCGCTACTTATTGGAGAAACCAAGGAATATTTTCACAACATCGTTTATGTTTCTATTCGTCTAATCATCCCAAGCAACCACCAACGTACAACGAGGTTAACATATTGATGATCGATCGGAATCTTCAGAAGGTCCTCTTTGATTGTCAAAAATACGACTATCAAAAGGCTTCATTTGAAATACTCCAAGAGTTCTGTCGCCTGGGAATTGACATTACATCTAATAGACACTACAAAAATCCGCTTTATTTTAGTATTCCTGATCTTAGTGGAAGCAATGTTAAAGAACATTTAGACTCAGTTGCAAAAGAGCTTTCTCATCCTTATATGAAATTGTTAGAGAGTTTTGGTTCCCCACCAGAACTACCTAAGATTTGGGAATCCTCGTCTGGATGGACAAAGTATGTATATGCATATGTTTAATTGCAGATCTATTAAAGATATAGCGGTGACAAAACATATTCAGTCGAGGCACCACTTGAAGATGCTCTTGTTTTTGATACAGAAGTTCTTGTTAAAGAAGGACACATACCAACAATGGCAGTGGCTCTTACGTCGGACGGGTGGTATGTTTTAAATGTTGTTCTTCAGTTTTGTAGGTATTCTTGGACTTCAAAACGTCTTTCTGTTTACGATGATAATTGCTCAAATGATATCAACGCATTTAATTCTCTTATTCCTATCTATGGTTCAAAAAATAAAGATATTTCAAAGTGTGTTATTGGACATTTTGTTAGTTATGATCGTGCTAGAATATTGGAAGAGTATCTTCTGGATGTATGTACGTTTAATTAATTATTGTTGAATCATTAGGGAACTGGAATTCGATTTGTGGATACTCTTTCTCTTCATGTTGCTGTATCGGGTTTGACCAGTACTCAAAGGTTCCTTAAAACATCTGCAGACAAACATCTATTTAACAACAAGACGTGGCAAGAGTTTATCGGAAGGAAGAGTGATAGACAACCACTAGATAGAAAGCCTAATACAGAAGCTCTTGTTATGGTAAGACAAAAGTACTTCATGTTTTTTTATCAGTGCTATTCCTGTATCATTCCCACGTTTAATGCCCTAATTCTTTTCAAAGAATTTAATTCTTGTAAATAATTTGGTTTTACTGCTTCTGTAGGTGACACATTTAGGAGTTTTTATTACTTCATCATACAAACGACTTTTACAAAGGCAGTTCTCACTGAAAATATTCCATAGGATTTCAGTCTAGGATGCCACTATCCATAGATGATATGGGTATGAAGTTGAAGATTATGCATATATCGATCAGTAGTGCTTGTCAATTGCATCGAAATAACTTGACAGTTATGCAGTATTTTTCAGTATCTATTTGTGATCGAATTATTTAATGAGATTTGAAGATTATTTCAGTCCATAAAGCTGAATTATTTAAATCATTTGATCCTTCGGGTCTAACTAATTTACGGTACTAACCAATATGACAAATCTTTCACTACCAACCAGCGGTACATTTTTTTATAAAGTGGCTGAGTCATTACAGAGGATATCCTATTACTTTTGGAGTCGGTTTCAGTTGCACTTAGGTCACATTTTAAGTGCGTATATTTTAATTTCCTGGTTAAGATACTCAGGAATTTCTGTATTAGGCTTCATTCAGTCTGCACAGTAGTGGAAATCAAAGAAACGAGAAAGGTAGTGGTGATAGACGACTGTTAAGACTTTAAAAAAGTATTAGAAAGTCAGCAGTTAATGGAACTATATCCGAAAAGATGGAACCAGTCTACATATCTGGAAAAATGTGCGAAACACTTAAAGGAAACAGTTCAACCGATCTTCAACTACTCTCCAGTTATCCACTATTCTTAAACAATATCAGTGGGTGATTGATATAAGCCATCTGATTCAGCGATTTCGAAAAGGTAGTAGTTGATTTAGATCAAAGGTGAGAAGTTGGACCTGATAGATTACGTGTAGAAGAATTCGAGAATGACTATTCTTTTCACTCTTTAATTTAACTGAGGCGTTGATTGAAGTCTGGTAATTATATGTAATCCTGTATGGATGCTATCGGTCACTGGTCGTTTCAGTTTATAAGCAAGAGTAAAAGTAATCTAGTGATTTGAATTTTATTTACTCTTGTCATAACTACAGAGAAATCTATTTGACCAACATAGTATCTAAATATTAATCTTAACAATCATCTGTAGCTTAACTGGAGCTCGTGAACAGAAAACTAGAAAAAACTAAGCTGGTTTCTGATCTGAGTGTTGACGTATCGATCACATACGTATTTTCCGTCAAAATTCATGACTATATCTGCCTACCTACGCCTGACTGTAATTATACTTCTTGGTTTCAAGGCTAGATTCGACCGGAAAATTTTATGTTATTGTTTGACACCAAATGATGTACCGAAAATGTGCATAAACCTTGTGAAAGGTCCTTGCGCAAACGTTGTTGGTGGAGTCTGAGCTCATGGGGGAGCGGTCATCAAATCATCAAGTTGCCATCATAATGTTATGATCTAGTTCTATTCAGTCATAATCTTTCACTTTCTTACTCTCAACCTCAACCAACCATGCGAGAGTAGATGGACTAATAATGCTTAGGAATATTTGTGTCAAAGGTCGAATGATGATGCACTTAAATCATTTGTATGTTTGTAAAAGTTATTGGATCGATCTAAACAAATTTGTAGGTTATTGGCGTATCTAGGTGGATAGTTTGCTTACTTAAAATGACATTCCCTAACTTGTATTTTTCACACAGCATATGGGGTTGAGACAGATAATTCCTTTCCCTTTCCTCGGAATAGATTTTCCGTTCAGTATAATTTTTTACTACTATCGATACTGCCACTTCTATTACCTGACCATTTATCCTGTTGTTTACATTTCGTTGTATGGATATGGTCTGTTCATCTGGGTTGATGTACTTTTCCAGATTCTATGTCCCATAAGGCCGATTACTCTCTGTGTGTAGATGTGGGGACTTAGGTCAGTGGGATGAATACCTCGACATCTGAGGATAAGCACGGGATACAATAGAGATCCCGGAATCAATTAGAAGATTTGGACATCGCCGATCACCAGGCCCTTCTATCCCATATACACGAACAAATGCCGGTGAAGACAACTAGTGTAGCAGCAGCTTCTGCATTAGTAGCCCTCAATATACACAAGGGAAAAAGCAAGATCCTCAAATGCAACACCGAGAACACCAAGCGAATCACATTGGATGGAGAAGCTTTGGAAGATGTGGAATCTTTCACATATCTGCCCGGATAAACATGGAGGATCCACTGAGGACGTAAAGGTGAGGATTGGCAAAGCAAGGGCCGCATTCCTACAGTGGAAGAACATATGGAAACTCAAAGCAACTGTCAACCAATATCAAAGTGAGAATCTTCAATGCGAACGTCAACAGTCAGTTCTACTGCACGGAGTTAAAACATGGAGGACTACTATGACCATCATCAAGAAGGTACAAGTATTTGTAAACAGTTGTCTACGTAAGATACTCAATATCCGTTGACCAGATACCATCAGCAACAGCGTACTGTGTGGGAGGACAACCCAGCTTGCAGCTGAAGATAAAATTAGGAAAAGATGTCGGAAGTGGATATGATATACATTACGGAAATCACCAAACTGCATCATGAGGCAATCCCTAACTTGGGATCGTGAAGGAAAATGGAAAAGAGGGAAGGTCAAAGAACACGCTGCGTCGAGAATCGGAAGCAGATATGAACAGGATGAATAGAAACTGGAAAGGATTGTGCAGGACAGGGTTGGATGGAGAGTGCTGGTGGGCGGCCTATGCTCCTCCACGAGGGGCAACAGGCGTAAGTAGTAAGTAAATAATCCAAAAAGCTGTGAAAACAACCGTGATATCTATGTAGTGGCCTTCAAATATCTGGATCCAGGTAGATCGTATGAATGATTGTTGTCAAAGTATACATCCTGACTATCCTCGTATATAATCATTGACTTAACTCACTTTAGTGAATAACGGAGTTAAATAAGTCAAATACGAGAATGAATTTCGAATACGTATATTTCATACAATCATTGATTGAGACAAACGATAGGAGAAACTAAGCGAGGGAAGCGAAGTGAAGAGAGCGAAGCAAAATGACGCGTGGTGGAGAAGGTGTGTGAGCCAACTCGATTTAACCAAGCGTTAATCGATACTCATAGTCACACAAGATAAGTTACAGACATTGATTAGTGGGATAAAAATTACACACACATATGCTCATATAAAAATGTCAAGGCTGATAAGCGAATATTTAACATGGTCAAAATGTGACTCAAGAAGAATAAATAAATTAGCTTGTTCGAAAGCTATAATAAGCTATGTGGGCTGAAAATAGCAATCGATACTACATCTACTAGTAACTTAAACTAAAATGTTGATGAAAATTAGATTTTAGCCCCATCTATTGAACTGATAGATGCTCAGAACACAATAAGTGGAGGCAGCTTATATGTAGGTCGATCAAAAGCCTACGTAATGATCGTAAGCAGTGGAGGGTAGCGATAGCAGGAGGAATAGAAAAGGCAACAGCGATAGGTAACAGTAGGCAACTGTTCAGACTTATCAAGGAAATGACCATTAGAAATACGGCTGCTAGTGAAACTATTTCGGAAAAAGACGGGACTATTATTTACGCTCAATTCAGAAGATTAAATCAATAGACAGAACACTTTAGGAAACAGTCCAACTGGCGTTCAACCACACTTGAGTTACCCACTATCTCCAAGCAACCTAAATGGCAAACTAATGAGAACCCTCCAACTCTTAATGAGGTTGAAACAGCTATCAGTAATCTAAAGCAAGGGAGAGCAACAGAGCCTGATGGACTAATCAAGGGAGATTTTCAAAGATAGTGGTCCAGCTTTAGCTGTTAAATTAACTGGATTCTTATCTGAAACCTGGGAATTGGACCTAATTTCATCTGACTAGTTTCGATCACTAATTGTCCCAATTTATAATAAAAGGATAAAAGTCCTGTTGTAAAAATCACAGAGAAACCACTTTACCTAACATAGTATACAAAATGTTAGCCTCAATAATACTTCGATGTCTAACAATAGCTTGTGAAGACCAAACCCGAGGAACTATGCTGATTTCGGACCTGGACGTGAAGGTATAGACCAAATACTCACCCTTCGGCAAATTTCATGACAATCACATTCTTTTCGACGTCACGGAATACTGAGGATGATATTAACCGACCAGGGTCTTTGTTTTGAAAGTGACGAGTTTATAGCCCGTCTAAAGCAGTTTGGCATCAAGAGGATACGAACTACTCCATATCATCCTCAAACGGGCTTGCAGAGAGAAACAACGGACGTTAAATGAATGGTTGACATCTAAAGGAGGAAATTGGGAGAAAGAATTACCATTGATTTTTCTGGCACATCGTTCCTCCATACAAGGAACAACCAAGAAGTCACCTTTCCTGCTATATATGGTAGACAGCCACGACTTCCTATGCATAATAAGACCTTCCCACAACAATAGAGGTGGACAACAACAAGGTCAAGAAAAGAGTGGAGGGAGGTAATAAGGAACGTGGAGAAGAAACAAATATCAGACAAAAAAGGAGTTACAGCAGAGGAGAACGTGGTAGCCTTTTGCAGTGGGGGACCTGGTAAAGTGTAGAGAACGGAAAAGTAACATGACAGGGGGATTAGGGTCAGAAAAGCTGATCCCAAAGTGAGAAGGACCGTATATTGTCACGAAGAGACGTGGCTCGGTTTACACGATCCATAGAGAAGAAAAGCAGAGGCGCGTAAATGCCAGTCAACTGCAGAGATGGTTTCAAGATCATCACGAGTGCGAGTCACGAGCAGCACCAAAGAAAACAGCGGTGCGGCGATCGGAAAGACTACGACGACACCTTATTAAGAGGGGGGGACAAGTGTGGTGTGTGTTACTTATATTGAAATAAGCAGTGTTTAACTTGAGTTAGGAATATAATGTCTGGCAGCAGAAGATTGAGAAGACCAAGAAGAAAAGAACGGGAATAGAAATCAATTGGTATGGAAATGCAGAAACAATGAAGTCTGGGACAACTAATGAGCATTTTGCAAATTAAGTTTTAAAGTATGGTTTTTTCGATTTTACCAAGTAACTGTAAATTTGTGCTAAATATAATTCGGTTGTCCTCATATGTGTTCTCCTTCACTACAGGACAACGCACAAGCAACTGTCTATTGGGATCCAGTCTAACACAATCTGTTCAGGCGTTCATGATCTCAATCAACAACCTGTTCTGCTTTAGAACTTAATTCTATACCTACACCAACGAGGTCATGGGAAGTAGCAGTAAGGTCTTCAGATATTCGAGGGGTCAATCGTGATGGTCCTTTCTATTGACAAGGTGAGATCATATAAATGACTGTACTTGGGTCCTGTATATGTGTTTTGAAGACGCAGCATACACCGATGTCACTAGATTCTAGAGTCCTAGCTAAGAAAACCTTTTTTCCCGTCTGACACAGTGTTCGAACATTAAAAGCCCCAACAAGCGTGACCTCAGATCAAGCGACAACTGCTTAAGGCCAGTTGCACACCGCCTTTTCATCAGAGGTTTTTGATGTGTCATCTTCGCACTTCAAAAGGCCCTACCGCCGAAGATGGAAATCCGTGAGGTAAGGTGAGGCGTGACATTTTTAGGGTCGACCTTTTCTAAACCCTTTCTTCCTTGTGAGAAGGCAGCATCGCTGCAGATGCTGGTTGCCCGAGGGGAACACCTTACTGCTGTCACACATCTCTACAGTCAGCAGTATGACTTCGCCCTCAAACCTTGAGTTGTTGCTTTTAGTCTTACCGTTCTCCAACCTACCAGCCTAGCATTTTATGACCTGATGGAATATATGTTCCAACCAAAATAGCTCGGTTGGGTCATCACGATAGGCAAGCTCTACTGCTACGTCAAGGTAGAAGCAGCGCTTCGACCACATGCATCTCATTGTAATTTTTGGTTCGAAGAAAGGTATCCCTGTTTATACTGCTGACAGATTAAAGTTCTGGGCGTCAATGTTTTTTAGCTATGATTTCAATATCAAGTCGATACCCTCTCTCATTTAATTGGAGTTGAACACCCTGGGTTGTAAGACATGATCATTGCCTGCATAGCTGTAGATCCAGAAATAATGTGTGTAATAGCAGATGTCATTCGAAACACTCCAGTGTCATCAGGTGAAGTCAGTGTAAAATTGTTCGAGACACAGTCCTACATAGAGTCAAAAAGTTCCACTTAGAGGGCTGACCGTCGAAATTCAGCTGCACAAAATTTCAGGCGTTTTACCAGCTCAATCATTGATGACTACCTTCTATTAGCTGAACGTGTCATATTCTCAAAGAAGCTGGAACCAGCAGTGCATGAACAGTTGTATGCAGCACATCCTGGAACAAATTAAATGAAAGCGCTACCCCGAAGTTATGTATACTAACCGCATTTAGACAACCAACTGGATCAATCCTCTCTTCTTTATAACAAATGCGCATTGGCAGCAAAAGTGCCGTGGAAAGCAAAGCAGCAATCATGGTCAATACCATAGTCATCGTGGCAACGTATACACTTGAGCTCCACTGGCCCACTTCATGGACAAACCTTATGGTAGTTGATGCATACAGTAAGTGGCGGAAAATTTTTTTTATGAAACATTCAACTGCAAGCTATACTGCCAGAAAACAATGTCAACTATTCAGTTGTTTCTTGGTTCCCGGGTTAATAGTTGGCGACAATGAAACACATTTTAGTCTGCTATCTCAGAATTTTGTCCTTAGAAGAGGATTAATCATGTCTGAACACCTCCATCCCATCCGTAATACAATGGTCAAGTAGGACGTTTCATCATATTTAAAAATACTCTGCAGAAACCAAAAGGGTGTTGGAACACAGAAGATTTTGGTGAGGTTCCCGCTCATCTGTCGTTCTACACTAAGCCCTCAGACAATTAATAGGGTCTCTCCACCAGAAGCTTAACTTGGCATAAAAATATGAACACATTTCGATGCCGCCAGCTGTTGAGTCTCAGCGATACAGATCAAGAGAAACACAATGTACATCATGGGGCATAAAGACGACTACTCATTATGAGTCGAAAAGTATTTCCTATGGACTATGGTAGCAAGCATCTTACATAGATAGCTGGTCGAATTGTGGAAAGCAAAAAAAATGCTGTTTACCAGCTGTCAGTTGTTTCGTAAGTTTAAATGCATCATGCTGAACAACTACAAAAGCAACTTTGGTTGCCAGAAACGAGACCAGACATTGAATACCTCTTGATGTTTTGCTGGAAACCTTTGAATAAACCCCCCAGAAGCGTACAGGTCAGTTTTTGTGATGATAAAGAGTGATAGAACTTCTTTATTGTCTGAAAGGTGGAAAAATCGATATCATAGACCAGTCACGCGTTTGCAGGTGGTCTCTGATACCAAATCCAATGAATTCGCTCAAAGGGGAAGTGTTAGCGGGATATACATTGGATTAAAGCATGTTCCATGCACGGTTGGGCTCGAGCACGTTGATTGACCACTTCTTAGCCCATCAACGTCAGCGGAAACTTACTATTTCATTATTATTATTATTATTATTATTATTACTATTATTATTATTATTATTATTATTATTATTATTATTATTATTATTATTATTATTATTATTATTATTAGCTTTATTCAATATTATACTTTTGGTACAATATAGAATTCTCGGCATAAAGTATTTCAGCGAGTTTCCGTTTCTTATTTCTTGATTGATATTGACCATAAATATTGAGCGATTGCCAGTTAAATGTTACTATTTCAGAAATCGACAGCTGAATAGTGTTCATTCTTCTCAATCCACATTGCCAGCAATCACAATGTCTCCGATTGTACATTTTTGTAACTTGTACTGAGAAAGGTCGTAAATTTCTTCACAAACGCACCTGATTATGTTATGCATTGAATTGACATAATGATATTTTAAAACAAAGCAACAGATAGCTTGTTGAAATATCTAGATGGCAGGAAAAGATAGCCCAGATAGAAAACTTAAGAATATTCTTGTGTAAATTTGTAAATATGCTAACGTTTTTCTTATTGTGACTCTTGCCTCGAATATAGTTGCGTTCCTGTTCAACCGTGTTTTCATTTAGGAACTTCTCGAGTGAAAAGTCCAAAAGAATATTAAGCAATAAGAGTAGCTAGGTCGTAATAAGAGAAATCACTTATTTACTTATGCTTGTTCCCCTCGTTCAGGAGCATAGGCCGCCCACCAGCACTCTCCATTCAACCCTGTCCCGTGCAATCCGTTCCAGTTTTTATTCATCCTGTTCATATCTGCTTCCGATTCTCGACTCAGTGTTTTCTTTGGTCTTCCTCTTTCCCGATTCCCTTCACCATTACAAGTTAGCGCTTGTTATGTGACGCAAGAAAAATCACATCAAATATAAAAGATGGTTATGGCAGTTCTTAAAGAAATGTCACTAAAATATTGATGGGATATTTAATGAGACTTTCCTCTCAAATTTATTGTATAATAATATATCATTAAAGTTCGGTGTTTTTTCTATTATTACCTTGCTGTATCAAAGCACACTGTTGGCATATTCGCTCACTGTTTAGATAATCTAATATTGACACCACCTACGAACTTATATGTACTGGTTGATGATAACGTATGAAATCCAAAACACTTACCTGTTCTATTTCAAACAGCTGTATAGACATACCTGGATTCTAGCAAGTATTGAGAATCCCAGTAAAAAGTTTTATATTTTTACTTCTTCCGTAATCACTAGGAAAGTGTTTTTCTCAGAGACTTTTTTGTTGAGTCAACGTTAATTTTTTATTATTATTATTTACTTAAAACTTATTAACTTCGCATTTTTTGTACCAACACTTTAGTCTACTTTTTTCTTATTTTGAAACTTTTAATGCAAATAAAGGATCTCGATTGGCTTTCAGAAACTAGTTTAAACAGTTTACCTGATATTTATCGTTTGTATTGTAAAAAAGAACCACCACAAGACAAACAATTGAGATCGATTTTCGAATCTGGAACTATTGAAGATGTTCGTACAAATTTTCAGGTAACTACTTTCACACTACGTTTCCTTTCTTTTTATTAAAAACTTCACTCTTATATGGATCAGTTAAGATTGTGTGTTTTATAAAAATTTTAATTGATACTGATTTTTGAATGAGTCAGACTGATCTGGATGCCAACTCAATGGCCTAGAGTGTAAGCGTTTTCTCCCGTCAGTCAGTCATAAATAAGAGTATCTGGGTCAAATATTCATCGGTTCAAGTTGTTACACCTCTGATGAGCGCAGTGAAAGGACGTAATATCACAAAAGGGAGCAAAGTTGAAATAATGATTATGATAATAGTGAAGAATAGATAGAATATGTCGAGCAGTGGGATCTAGGATGCGAGTTCCGTCCCACTTGGGACTCGTCAACTTCGTGTTACTGGATCTGAGAATTGATGTTGATGAGTCTCGAGCCGAGTGCCATTTACATCAAACACCAATGTGTTATCCGGGCAGTTCAACCACCGTATATACAGATGTCTATGTTATATATATATATTACTTTCAGTTAAGATTGTAAAGATCCTTTTATTAAACTGTTCTCGTTATCCTACTATTGAGTCGAGGTGTTGTCGTGGTCATATATTCGTCTCCATCAAGAGTAAAGATTGAGTGGCTTTTATCCGACTTGGAGAAGAGTACTTTTTAGCAGTCCACAACTTTGTGTATCTTTCATCTGCGAATAACCGTGTTGGAGTACCCAGTTTTTCACATGTTTCAATCGTGTTCTTATATTTGGCTTGTTTGGTCAGCCAACGGGAATGCTATGGTACACGACTTTATTGTTGTGTGCTGGGTTCAGAGAGGTTTGTATGCTGTATGTATGCAGTCTACCCTATCGTAGTTCCAATCCAGTCCGAGTCCTGCTCCACTTATTTTAGTTCGTGCAGTTCGGTAGTATCACAGACTCTCTTACACACATGTGAGGTGTGTCTCTGTAAGCCGAGTACAGGAATCTGTAATTGGTGAGTTATATCAAAGCAGTTGTGATTGTTGTTAGTTGTGTATGTATTCCGCCTTGTTTCAGCCTATGTGTGGTGTGTGCTACTTATATTGATATAAGTAGTATATGACGCGAGTTAGTAATGTAATGTCTGGCAGCAGTAGATGGGGATAATCAAGAAAGGAAGAGCGGGAATAGAATGCTTTTAGTATGGAAATGCAGGAACAATGAAGGTTGAGACAGTTATTGAACATTTTTTCAAATTAAGTATTATAGTATGGTTTTTCTATTTTACTAAGTAACTGTGTAATTCTGTGCTGAATATAATTCGGTTGACCTCAACTGTGTTCTCTTTCACTGCACATGTACTAAACAAAGATGATACACAGGTTGGCCATCCTTGTAGTTTTCACCACCACACTGCTCCTAGTCTACCTAATTCCGTTTATGTTTGTTTGTTTCGTTTTATAACATTATTTTTGTAGGGGGTGCCTGTAATATGGAGGAAAGACAATGAGAATCGGCGAAATAGATTTTGATGTTTTACACAGTCGTTTAGAATTCTTTGTAAAGGTTTTTTTTGTTATGCTATAGCGAGAACAACAGTGTTAAGCGTATTAAATGCTTATTTTGTTCTATGCAGATTGTACGTGACACGTGAATGAATGAGTTGTTGTCTCAATCTCCTTTTTCGTAATAAACTTTGAAGGAAATCAATCTATTAGTATTCCACTGCATAATAGGCTAACTGATGAAGTACGGATGCTGACTGTGATAAATGATGATCTTCACTGATGACTTCCTTATATTTTCGTGTTATAACACGGTCTGTTTGTTGCCACAGGGCATTTATTAACAACGATTTTGTGGGTGATAACGAATTTTCTATGAAGGTGTTCACTTATTTTTGATAAGAACTCTGAAAGAAACTTCTTTTGTGAATATATTCACGTTCAGTTTAATGAGGTGATGTAGTGGTTCCTTTCCAATATTGGGATTGGAAAATGGATAATATTTTTTGAAAAATGCATAAAGTTCTTGAAGTAAAACACACCAAATTAACGTCTTATTACTTTTGTTGTGAGACACTTTTAGTTTACACAGACTATGTTCACTGAATGAAAGTGACGCACCAACCACATGGTCTCTTATTTTATTGTTTTTGACTTGCCATTATCTGCAGATTTTTAAATAAGTATTTATTTCACTTAGGAATTGTTCAAATACTGCGCCGTGGATGTACTTATGACGTATGAAATAATACAAGTTTTGTGGCCTATATTTAAAGAAAGGTAATCTAGTTAACTCGTCTGAGTATATATAATGTTAGCATCAAATTTATTTTCTACTATATATATATATATATATATATATATATATATATATATATATATATATAAATTAAATAATGAATTGTATTCCTGCCAAAAAGTGCTGCTTGCTCAATGAAGCCTTCAAATAAGTTTCTGTCTATCTTCCGTTGTAATAAAATACTATTTTCATAATCGCAACGAATCTGGTATCTATATTTGTTAGTCAATTCCAACGTAGAATCTGTATGTATGTAAATCAATTCAAGTTTCTATTCCCCATTAGTTCAGAGAAATGAAGTTGCTAGGCCGAGCTCCAGAATATCAGAAGTAGTAACATTATCAGTGGCGTTGAGAAAGATTCGGCATCAAAGATACATTTGGAGAATACAAATTAGTGAAATAAAATCAAAGAATGAGGTTATAAGGAATTGAGAATTTCAGAACTTGGGAAGACAAGGATTAGATCCACCTGCGCCATTGCAAATGATTTTGAGCCATCTCATTCAAAGTCTTTAACTTTTGGTTATGATAATCACGCGGACCCCAATCAGGTAGTCCACGCATATTCACATGGTCAAGTTCAGTTGTCATTGATTTCATGGACTGATGACAGGGTATTCGTGGTACTGTTAAATTTTTAGTTGTATTCATTCTTTTTAATTATGTCGAACTTCAGTAGGCTTCATTATAGATGTATACATATCATATTGATATGATATGTAGGTACGTAAACTCCTTCATGTATTAGTCACTTTGGTGAATACCAAAGTAATCATGGTTGGTGATATATGTCATGCCTAAAAGCATTATCACTTATGCCATTGAATATTAATCATCAGATGTTGTATCGCAAGTTGAATGAAATTAGCGACGGGATTTATTAAATTTTAAATCAATTAATTAGAAGATTTAAACCCTTTCATGATGCCTTACAAGTTTAAATTTCTATCTAGCATTGTGATTTCGTGGTCGCTGACTGTTAAAGATCCGTTAAACGAATAGAAGAACAACTATTCATGTTATTTGCCGCTTTTTCGTACTTTTATTCATGTCACGTCCTTAACGAAAATTATCACCAGAGTGAAAAAATCTACCAAACACTATTAAACAATATCTGGTACAAATTTAGCAGGGTGTTCTTTTTTTGTTTTTTAACTGTTATTACTTGTATTGTACCTAGTAATAGCTTGTGACTTATTAACGTCTTGACCATCACTGTTTATATTAGCTCATCCCATTATATGGTGCAGATAACGTCTTTTTTTCTCTCTCCCACTTCCACTATTGTTCTTCCTCTTCCTTTTGTAGATTTCCACATCCCGCAACATTTTGTGGATTACTAGAAATGAGTAGTATGTATTTACCAATTAATGATAATTGGATTAAATTTCAAGAAAAAGCAGAATCATCATATACGGAAAATATATTACGACAGAAAAAATTATTGATGCAATTAGCTGATCAAGCATTGGCTAAATATTCTAATAATCAAGAGTAAGCTATTATTATTATTATTATTATAAATAATTTTTGATACTTTATATGGTATAATCTAGCTGTTTAAACATTGACAAGGAAAGCAGGGTTTGAACTGGTGCAGAATAGTATGAATTCATAATATTTCGAGGTTTCTCGTCAGCTGCTTACAACCCAATATATGATAGAATTTTTACATTGAAATAGTGTGAAACAATTGATATAAATGAATGTAAATAACTGGAATGACAAAGGTTTACAATAATAACTATATATATATATATATATATATATATATATATATATATATATATATAGGTCAGAGGTTAATTAGTGTTAGAATCAAGAAAACAATTAAGGATGAGTGGTGTAATGGCCTAGTGGAGTTATACATTGTGTGATAATTTTAGAAGTAGCGAAGGCTTCATGGAATTAAGCAGTGATAAGATAGGTTACGTAATAATTGAATGGAATTTGAAAAGCTAATAAAATTTAGAAGGGTAAGTAGGCGGAAATATGTGAATGAAAAGTTGGTTTACGAGTTCGCTAGTGGGGGACGAGGGGAATATAACACAGAATAAATATTTTAAAAATAATTAGGATTACGCAAATAACCAACATAAAATAAAAATAAAAAAATAAAATGAATTACCAGGGTAATAATAAGTTAACTACTGTCACTTTCTGAATACATAAATCCGTTTTAAGTTTTCTAATCGCGATCGCTTCGGCAAAACGGAAAGCAATCGTACTTTTTTGTCTACTGATAATTTTAAAAGCGTGCGGAATATTGATGGTATGTCCGGTGTCAAGTAAACGCCGAGCTATTGCACTATTAAGAGCATTAGTCCCTTTCAGCCTCAAGTTTTTTGGAACATGCTCAGAAATGCGAACATGTACCCTTCTCTCAGTTCTTTCAATGTATGTGCTGTGGCACGTACATGTGAATTGGTAAATGTAATCGGAGCTACTGAAAAAAGAGGACTTGTCGATTTTAGTTTGTTTGAGAGAGCAGTTCGTTTGCCATAACGTCGTCAGTTTAGCTGCTGGATAGGCCACTTTCAACGCGGAATTTATTCTGTGATTGATTATTCCGGTGATTTGATCTCCTTTGAAGCGCAAGTATAGGAAGCAGTTTTTCTTTTCCACTATATCATGCTTAATCGGAGGGTTGGTATTTGCATATTTGTGGATGAATTTCTCCGGATATGCGTTTTCACGTAGGCAATTTCTTATTCAAGGTATTCCTTTGAGCAGATTTTGCGTGCGCGGTCAAAAAGGTTTCGTACAATACCCTTTTTATAACTCATAGGACAGAAGCTTTTATAATTGAGATAAACTCCACTCGAGGTATCTTTTACGATGAATGTGTCGCCTAATTTCAATATCTAGGAAATGGAATTTATCGTCAACCTCATGTTCCATAGTAAATTCTATATCTTTGTGTGCTTTATTAAATAGACTGAGTAAGTTGTTGGAATGTTTGTGATTGTTGCAGACAAGGAACGTGTCATCAATATATCTACAATAAAGTGTGGTACTATCGAATGCGTGCTTAAGTTTCTTTTGTTCAAGGTGTCCCATAAATATGTCGGCCAGAATTGGGCCCAAAGGGCTGCCTATTGCTACTCCATCAATCTGGTGGTACAGAACACTGTTGAATTTAAATTGTATGTTTTTTTGTGCACAAAAACAGGAGCTGTTTAAGTTCATGGATTGGTAAAGGCAGGAGTTCCGGATATTCACATATGATCTCTGCCGTTTCTTCCAAGGGGATAGATTATCAAACACATAACGAACTCAAACCAAAAGGATCACAATTACCATACTTATATAGCCTACCCAAAACACATAAACCCGACATCCCAATAAGACCAATATTATCTATGACCAAATCACCCTATCATAAACCTGCCCACTGGCTGACTAGATGCTTAGAACCAATCCGCAAGAAACTAGCAACCTACAGTTTGAAAGATAGCTTTGAATTCGTACAAAAACTTGATAACCTTAATGTTTCTGACAAACTTATGATCTCATTTCACGTCTCATCGCTCTTCACAAATATCCTCTTGGAAGAAACATAATTCCCAAGACTGATTATTTGTCAATTATCCAGTGACGATTAGTTGATTTCAGCACGAGTGATTAAATATCCAGATGATATATATATCATATAGAGTACCTTTATAATCTAGTTTAGTTGTATAATTTTCCTCTTATATTTAATATTGTAATAACAATAATGATAATTTGTGTAATTCCAATTTTTAATTCAAGGTATAAAAATGATCCATGGTTGTGGGATTTGGATTGGTCTAGACCCAAAGTCAAATGTGTTAGTTTACTCATTGTTTAATTAATTCATACTGCTGCTATTTCTACTCATTTAGTTCTCATTGTATTGTTTTCTTCCTTCGTTAGTTTGATGCAGTATTGTAACTAGGACTAGTGCATGTTTCAATTTCAACTCTAAGTGATTTCTTTAGCATAAATATTTCTGTGCTGAAATATTAAGGTTATGGAAAGATGTATTAAATAGTTTTAAGTTCATTTTATCCTATATCTAGAACTTTCCAAGTTATTCAACCTTCAACTTGTATTTCAGTGAAACATTAGTTGTTTATTTCATTAAAATTAAATCTGTTAGTTAAACTGTAGCATAGAATTTAATGATGATGAGTTCTCTTCTTCCTTCAATTAAGTCAAACTGTAGATTAATAATCAAACCATAAGTTGTAAGGTATGTTTGCATTGACTTTATCTCATTTTACTTTTCTTATAGAAGCAAATGTTTTTGATTATTATTATGATTTCGGTGGATTATCAAAGTTCATTTACACCTAAACTCATCTGTCTATGTTCCCGTTTGTTGTATAAAGTTTACTTCAAAATAATACTATCCGGTAGTACTACTCTTTAATTTTTTGCGTTTTATCTTTATCGTATTTGTCTGCTGACATTTAGATATTTTGTGTGTAAATGTTTTGAGATTGGTATGATTTGCTTTTTTCTTTTGTAAAACATGTATTTCATGCAATAGTTATCACTACGAATTTTACTCACACATACAGAGTTTAGTGATAATTTTAAATGTTTTTTTTAATATTTTTCTTTTCATTACAGAAGACTGAAGTTGATGAAAAGGTGTCTCGTCTTCCTAAGTGAGTAATATTTTTACATTACACTTTATTTCAGTGATCATCAACAGTTTTCTACAAGGATTTATTATTAGTTTGGAGATTTTAGCAAGTAATGGAACCCACGAAGTTCTCTCGTTTTATTTGTATCTTTTCAGCCGAATATACTTGTATACTTGTGTTAATTTTCACACTCAGACTTGAATCCAGTGCTTATCAATCAATATGTCAACATGCTATACACCAAGTGACACAATCCAGTTAGTAACTTGTCCAACTGGTACAAAGCTATTTGAAAGGGTGTCTATTTTCCCGTACTCTAACATGGTTACGATCGGTTTGTGGTCTGCGCTGTTTGCATCATTTGTAGGACGCTAACCAAAGAGTTCTAATGAACCGACAGGTTTCAGCCCTATACAGCTTTCTTTCATACCTCAGCACTATATCATAAACTAACCACATGTCCACTTTTTCCATTCAGTCTTAATGTGGTGTGTGCTACTGATGTCGACAGATATGATCAGCATGCATCACCAATCGAGAGTGGAATGCCTTGGTAGCAGAAGGTTGAGAAAATCGAAGATATGAAAAGGAGAACAGAGAGTGATATGGAAACGAAGGAACAACAAATTATGAACAACACATATAAGCGAACAATTGTTTTCAATTAGATCGTCATCAGGCTTTACTCTAATATACATGAATATTTATACGAAAATGTTAAACCAATCAAGGCAATATGAGTCAATAATCACAATGAAATAAAATAAGTCTCTAGGTAAAAGTACAAGTTGATAGTAGGAAGACAGGTGAACTGATAATAGTGAGAATAATAAAATACAATAACAAAACTCTTATCAATAATTAAACGTTGGAAATAGAAGGTCAAATAAACATGGGTAAATAGACTAGGAATAGTAATCACAAAACATTAAAATCATTACGTAATAAGATGTGTGTAAATAATTAGATAGTGAAGAATACAAAGAGGCGGAAAATTACAAACAAATAATGGATGTGAAAATAAGGTCAATGATAACACAAATAAAATAAAATGAATAAGGATAATAATAAAATAAAATAAATAAATAAAAAGAATTGTTAGTTAAGTTATAACTGGCCATGGAAGGGATAGGGGGGTCACGTATTTCTTCTGTACACATAAATTGGGGTTATATGTACGAATTCCAATGGCTTCAGCTATATATAGGAGACGGGAACGGACTCCGTCGGGAAATGATGGAGGTATACGATAGATAACTCAAAAAGATTTCGATTTATCTACTGCATGACCGCTATCAATAAGATGTGCCAATATAGAACTCCGAATAGATTTCCTCTGGCCCTTTATGTACCAAGTTGGTAGATGTTCACTCATTCGTTGGTTAAGTTGCCTGGTAGTACGCCCTATATAGCTATCTCCACAGGAGCAGCTGAATTTGTAAATGCACATGGAAGAGGCCAACTCAGGTAACTTATCCTTCGTTTGAGTAGACATCGCTGGTCGACAAGAGAAGGTCAACGCCAGATTGGCTGCGTAGAATGTCCTGGTGATTACTTTGGTTAATCTATATTTCAGAGTGTCACTAGCCACATCCCCGTTGAATTGTACTTTCATGTATAAAGGTTTCTTACGAACAGTCGAAATCTCCGACTTTTTTATTATATCATGCATGTACTTCCTAATGAACGCGCTGGGGTAGCCGATCTCGGTCAGTGAGTTGTTGATAAATTCAAGCTCCTGACTTAGAGTGTCTACTGTACAGATCTTTTTTGCTCTGCTAGTGAGACATCTGACCAAATTTCTCTTGTAACGGATAGGTGTGAAACTGCAGAAGTGAATATATTGGCATGAAGAGGGGTTTCTTCTATACACGCTTCTACTTAGTGTGCCGTCACTTCGTCTGCTTAGTGTGACGTCAAGGAAGTTCAGTTTCTTATCATGCTCGCTTTCACCAGTGAAAGTGATCGCTGGGTGGACACTGTTGAATTGTTCTAGGAGTTCCTCCTTACTGGTGTTTTGATCTACGATAATGAAAGTGTCGTCAATGTAGCGGCAATATAAATCAAGTTTCTGAATAGGCTCATTGAGAGGTCCATTTTCTAGCTTTGCTAGGAAGAGATCAGCTAAAATCGGGCCTAGAGGCGAGCCCATGGCTATCCCGTCTATTTGTCTATAGTAAGTATTGTTGAAGACAAAATGTACATTCAGGGTGCATCTTAGGAGCAGTTCCCTTAGGCTATCGTTAGGCAAGCCAATGTTGATTTGTTTTTCAGATATTTGCTTGCATATAAACTCAATAGTCTCCATAAGTGGTACGTTGGTGAACAAAGATCCTACATCCAATGAGATCATATTTTTCCTACTAACATCAATATTTTCTACTTTGGAGGTGAAGTTGAAGACGTCTTTTACACTATTTCTAACCACTGATTTGTGTAAAGGTTCTAGGATTCGTACTAGCCACTTTGCGATTTTGTGGTAAGGAGAATTGTACATATCTAGAACTGGTCGTAGGGGAAGACCCGATTTATGTACTTTAGGCAAACCATACAGTCGTGGTGTAAATGATCCCGTCGGCTTAATTGAATCGTGAATTTCGGTCGTAATTATTCCTTTTTTCTTTAGATCTTTAAGGAAATTGGTCAATTGTCCTTCTACTTTTTTATTGATGTCACAATTACTAGTAATTTTCTGAAATTTGCTAGAATCGCTAAGCAGTGTTTCCATTTTTCCCATGTAATCATTTTTGTTCATGAGAACTATACCTCCTCCTTTATCTGGTTTGGTTATGGTCAGGGTTTCATCTTTTCTTAGTTTCATTAAAGAGTCTCGGTGCTGCTTGGTTAGTAGGTGATTTGTGGTACCCTTACTATTCTTGTATTGTTGGCAGCTATCAACTAGTGTGGTTTTAAACCGAGCAAGGTCCTCTAATGAGGTAGAAATCAAGTCAGTTGTTTGTGAAAATAAATTCTCAAACTGTACATCAGTATCTAATTGGTTGATTCTATGCCTACTATCACAGAATTTAGGTCCAAGAGATAAAGCTTCTAGCTGTATTACATCTAGTTCAATATTGGAAAAATTATGTACGTACCGTTTCGGGTCGAAAGGGAACTCCTTTTCTGGCTTTTGGTTTTCCAAAGTTTTCATTAATTTTGTTAAAGTTTTCTCAGATCTATTCTTGGAAATTTTTCCCACATATATATAGCTGAAGCCATTGGAATTCGTACATATAACCCCAATTTATGTGTACAGAAGAAATACGTGACCCCCCTATCCCTTCCATGGCCAGTTATAACTTAACTAACAATTCTTTTTATTTATTTATTTTATTTTATTATTATCCTTATTCATTTTATTTTATTTGTGTTATCATTGACCTTATTTTCACATCCATTATTTGTTTGTAATTTTCCGCCTCTTTGTATTCTTCACTATCTAATTATTTACACACATCTTATTACGTAATGATTTTAATGTTTTGTGATTACTATTCCTAGTCTATTTACCCATGTTTATTTGACCTTCTATTTCCAACGTTTAATTATTGATAAGAGTTTTGTTATTGTATTTTATTATTCTCACTATTATCAGTTCACCTGTCTTCCTACTATCAACTTGTACTTTTACCTAGAGACTTATTTTATTTCATTGTGATTATTGACTCATATTGCCTTGATTGGTTTAACATTTTCGTATAAATATTCATGTATATTAGAGTAAAGCCTGATGACGATCTAATTGAAAACAATTGTTCGCTTATATGTGTTGTTCTAATTTTCACAATGGGAATCTTTAATATAACAAATTATGAGACAATTGATGGTTATTTTGCAAATAAAGTATTTGCTATATGGTTCCGAGATTTTCCGTATTCTGTAATTAATAAGAACTTTCGTCTAAATTTGAACGAAGAGTTTCACAATATTTGGGCGCCGAGTTAATGTGAGTCATTAAAGAGGAATAATATATATTTGTAAAATCTCAGCGAAAGAATTTGAAGTAAATCCAACGTTTCGCCTGGCAATCTGGTCCAAGCTTTTTCAAGGAAAGTATAATCAAACATCAAAATTATCGAATATAAATTGGTACATGGTTCTTCGGTTTACTATATACTGAATAAGTCATCCAATCAACGTGAAAGATTTTATAAATAGGTATTTGCATTGATGTGTAAGAGACATGCTTATCTGAAAATAATAAAGGTCAACCAAATAAAAGTTCAATTAAAAATAATCAAGGGTAGAGAAAGAATAAGAAATTGTCGTGTTATCCTAGGCCATAGAATGACTTAAGGATTACAAGGTAAATTCAAGGTTAAGACAACTTGTTATTGTACACATAAGGACAGGGCAAGTGATATGAAACGAAAAAGTGTTAAGATAACAGAGTGTGTGTATACGTAAGTGATGTGAGAAGAAATTTCAATCAACTAAATATTGACTTTGGTCTGTGTATATTAAGAAAACATATCATTTTTATATATGAAATGAATCAAAAATGCCACAGTCTGTATTCTGTAATTATGTATTTAAATACATTGGATTGTCCCCACTGGTGTTTTCGTTTACTAAACTAGTGTTGACAAATAAAGCAAAATATGTCAGATGAGTTCAGTTTTACGTTTTCTATAAGAATTTATTTAACACAGTCGTAAATTTCTAAAAAAATAAACTGCATAACTAAATTATTTAATTATTTAGATGGTATAGAGATTTAATTCCAAAACCAGTTAAAGATAATTTAGACGCTGGACCAGCTTTATTGACTGCTCAAATGCGTATTGCACCAAAACTATTAAAACTCTGTTGGCAAGGTCTGCCGTTGCATTATGATCGAGTAAGTGATTACTATTTTATACACAGTTTGTTTTCCTTTTTTGATAACCTGGTCTATAAAACACCAATAACTGCAACAGTAAGAAACTATTTAGTTAATTCGATTTGTATTGCATTTCATTTGCTACAAATCTGTTACAATATGTTATAAGCATCCACAACCGCTTATTCACCATATTAATCGATACAAGGTTAATTCTAAAGCGGTATTTGATACGAAACCCTGCACCTAGTTTTAGCGCTATTTGACACTTGTCAGCAAGGTGTACCTGGCGAACTCGATCCCATGTGATAAGTCTTCTGATTGAACGCTAGATTTGGTTCCTACGTTCTTCTAGTAACCATCAGGCTAGATCTACATAGCAACTTGGACACGAGAAAAGGCGCGAGATATGCAAGAAACACTACTTCAAAGGTTCGTTTATGTACAGAAAATCTAGGGTTTTTATAGTACTTTAGATGGCCTTGTGCTTCCCGGAATTTCTGGAACGCTACTAAACATAGTAGCGGCATAGATAACCATCCATTCAGAAACTCGACACGTGACTTTTCACTTTCTAGATGTCTCTGGCAAAACGTCTAGTGAATACTGATAGAATAAGAAGCTTTTCAATGTTTTCAGAACCTTTTTGGGTTTTTTTGGAGTTTTTGGATCTTCCCAACACCATGTCACCGAGTTTCACGATCAGAGACGTTACCACTAAGCTATTCTGGCCGCGACTGAGATATATGTGCAACTTATCAATAAAAGTTTACTAACCAACACTTTGTCATATATTGCAATAAAAGTCATCTTCATGTCTTTGTTCCTTTCAGTAATATTCGATACATAGATTTTATTCTCAAAATACATCTATTTTAAAATGGAGGTTTTGTTTTGTTTTGAATTAAAAAGTTGTTATCGTTTCTACGGTTTGTTTCAATTTGATTAGATCAACCACTTTGATATAAGTTTTTTTTTATGTTTAACTTACCAAAAAAGATTCATGGTATACATCGATGTTACTTACTTTTTTGACAACATTTCATCAATTTTTTCTTGACAGCCTAAATTCATTGTTAGATTCCCTGGAATAACGTACTTGAGTTCGACTAAATTATGGATACTTTCTTGGCTTCTCGATTTACTCCTATGCGGTCATATATAAATAATAAATAATTCCACAATAAATAAATAGGTTAAGTTATAAAGCACATTCAAAGTGATATACTCAGTAGTATCACCCAACTCAGCACAGTAAAGATAGAAATGACTATTTCAATATGGCTGAACGGGTAAAAGAACATCGTATAAACTAATAAAATAGATTGGTTAGCTTACAATCGACTAAAGAAATCTGTACGATAAAAACTGATTATTTATATTTTATACGATTAAAATGCACAAATCTCATAATAATCTCTTGTGGCTATTAATATGTTTGCTACTGAAACGCTTATTAATACGTTCCTAGCTGCTTCCTATAACCCTAGACTACTCAAGCAAGAGAGAAAAGGGGCGAAATGTAAGTAAGAGCTTTATCGCAAGGTTAGTATATGTACAGAAAATCTAGAGTATTTGTAGAGTTAGATTTAACCTTCGTCTTCTCGGACTTTTTGGAAACACACTAACTACAGTAACGATGAATGTACTTATCCAATCTAAAAAATGGCACGTGATCCCTCATTTTGCTAGGTATTTCTAAGAAGCTTCTGTTCAATGCTATTTGGATAAAACAATTGTTTGCATTTTCTGAGTTTCTAAAGACTGAGGAAAAGATATTTTTGGATTACCTCAGCAGTTAGAAATTGTGTTTTATCGATCTGTAATTTTTATAAAATTTCATTTTTTTGTTATGTGTATATTAGGTGCTCAAATGGGGTGTTCTCATACCTGGACGTATTCCACAACCCTACGGTGATCCACGATATTACATTGAATCATTTAAAAATACAGAGAATACAGAATGTATTAATTCTAATGATGCAGAAAAATGTTCTACAAACTCTAATGTTGTGTGTCATTATGATTCATTAATTCGTCCAATTATATCTGTTGTCAAGTCAACAGCTGCTGGTGATGAAACGCTCGACTTTCCCTATGGGTAAGTGTTACGTCCTTGATCAGTCTGCTCAATAATACACAAGAGAGAACCTGCCTCGACCTTGATACGATAGGCTAACTAGTTCTACCTTGAGGCTAGTTATGTGTGAGTCCGAATTGTGGCTAAACGGCCTTGTTGTGAGAGACGGGAACGAAATATTTTTTAACTTGCTGATAAAATTAGGGTATAAAGTTTGATTAAATTGGTCTTTTTTTAAAAAGAATTATTTCAAATTCATTTATGACTGATTATCTCAGAGAGCCGTTAACGTTGTTGGTTAATCCAAGCATTTCTTTTCAAATTGTTGATCAAAATAAATAGAATGTGTTCATAAATCAGTCACTACTTTTCAATGAATTCCTGTCCTTAATTCGGTCGATGCGTTACACAAAAATAGAGAATTATCAGTTTGATAAGCCTAATCAATAATAAATTTAAGTTTTTGGTATAATGTTTTGTTTTGGTTATTTCGGTAGTCAGTCATTTAATCAGTTAGTGAATTAAAATATATCTGATCTCCGAAAAACAAAATATTCATTATCTTTTAATGTACAGTATGTGAAAAGATTCGTAATAGATTCACTAAGTATCAGTTTATTTACTCATCTGTAATAGGTAGTGAAACTATCTTACTGGGTGAACTAATGTCGATTAAATTGGGTTTATATGTCTGAAACATTGATTGAAAGCTATGTACTTCAATCATATCTTGTTACAATTGTTTAACGTTTAGAGTCAAGAAAAGAAGAATATCTATATCTGACTATCTAAATTATGTTATATTTCTTTCATTTTCTCTTTTGTATAGAGCTTATTTAAATTATTGGTTAGCTGATGTAAAACGTCGTCTGTTAGCAGATTTTCAATTAAACGAATCTACATCGTCAAGTGATAACTTTTCAGATAGTTTAGCAGTTGCTTATTCTCATCGTATAAAACCAGATATTCGTGATGCTAATTTGTTAGATGAATTAAAACGTAGCATTGAAGTTATGCCGTTGGAAAAAGAGGAACGTCAACGACTGGCGTCTACAATAAGTACTATACGTAAATTAGGTGAACAAAAACGATTTCAAATGGATTCCAAATTACAGAAAATAAACAATAATGTAATTGATTTACTTAAAACATAATTCTGATTCATTTAGTGTTGTTAATTCTCGTATTATACAATGAATGTATGGACATGAAGGGGAAGCAGTTGTGTTAGTGTATGTGCCTTGTTCTCACAAGAAAACCAAGAGCACACTTTTCTCGATGTGATCTAGGTAAAATTTTAACATGATCAACCAGTTATTTTTCACACCTTATTAATCGGGTTGATTGTCTCTGAGATTACTGATTTTCTGTTCTTACTCATCTTATCTGCCTCACTGTTAAAAATGCTTAAGAATTCCGATTATGCTTTCTGTATTGTCGCTGAGTGTTTAATGTCGATTGATTCATCGAAGCTAACGAAAGAATTAATTTATCTCTTCATACAATTAAATTCATCAGCCATGGTCTTAAGACTCATGTTTGAAGAGCATTCATGAAGTGTATCATTATTTATTGGAAAGGTGTAAAATAAATACCATTCTTTACAACTTTAATTATAGGTGAGTAGATGTTCACAGAACTAAAGCAAAGGTTTTGAATTACAATGTTGTCTATATGAATTAACAGCTATACTGTCTAACAGTTGCTACTAACTACACATCTACTGTTGGCTCTGTATCGTCATCCCATCATATGGAATAATTTGTTTGATATATTGTTTAATGTAGTAATGTCATTGGAACCAATGATGTATTTATGAATTAAGTATCGTTGAATACAACCCAGTCACCATACTCACATAACCTTCAATTTGTCTAAAAGCACTGATGTCTTTTTTCCCCATTTCATAAGTTCTAACCAATTTTTGTATATAACAACTTCACATGAACATTTATATACATATTGCTAGTTTTTATTCTCTTTTGCACTTACCAAACTTTCCACTTTAGACCCAATAACTATTAGACAGATTTTTGTGTTTTTTTCTGTATCAAAACAATTTATAATCCATTATAAATTAATTTGTTTTCCCCTCTAGAATCACAATGAATTGATTTATGAGAAAGTGGGTGAATTACAGGTAATTTATTCTTTACATTTATGTAAAACAAAATATTTTATCATTCTCGTGTTTGTCATTTTTCCCATTTTGAAAAATTTGTCCAATAGTGGTAGTAAGAAAAATTGTTCTTTTAATTCTTATCACTTATATCATGGGCGACGGAGTAGCTTTTCAGAGATAATTTGGTTGCTTAATTTCAATACTAAATTATGTAAGAACTATACATATGTAAAATTGAATATAATTACCAGAAATTTTCTATTGTCGTGTTAAATAATCTTTTTAAAATACATCACAACTGAAGCTTTATACGGCTGTTTAGATTAAAAATACTATTGAGATTTATGTAGTGCAATGTGCATGTATGTAGTATTGCTTCATTTACATACATAAATGATAAGATTATGATTAGTGTAGTACTTGTTTGACGAAGTAAAGATAACATTCAATATCAAGCAATCACTTTTTTTTAAAATACTACTGTCAATTACGAGTTGACTTTAGACTCCACCGTTGCTGCTACCTTGACGTGATAGTCGGGCTTGCCTATTGTTTATGAACCAATAGGGCTATACAGGCTGAAACAATCGTTCGGTTGAAGGAAAATCAGCATAACGGCCATGCTGCTTTCCCACGAAGGAATGGTGGGGTTATAAAACGTCGGCTCCAAAAATGCACGCTCCACTTTATCTCACGAATTTCTGTCTCAGGTGGTTTCAACAAGTACGGAGCTAACACAAAAATTACCCACGAAAAGGTCGTGTGTAACTGGTCTCAAACACTGGTTTATTGGACATTGTGGTCTCGCTCTCAGATCAATAAGACCAATCTCATTTTCAGGTACCTCTATAAAAACCCTTTCATGGTGTTTAACCGGGAAGTGATAACGGCCTTCATATCTCTAACAGCATTCAAGACCACCGTATTCATAATCGATTTCCCTCTTCGATTTCTATTATTGCTTCTACCTCGACTTTCAACTCTAAACTTCCTCTTTTGACTTCCTCCTCAAGTATCATCATTGCCAGCGATTCTAGTGCGCTATGTACTGTCTTAGATCTACTGAAACCTCACTCTAAACTACACATTGGAGCATTCGAAGTACGTATCCTGTGTGAAGTCGGCCATTAGGCCTCTTTGGTTGAGACCTTAGAATCTCGTACCATTGATGTATGTTGTGTTTCTGTGATATACTAGGGCTCCACAACTCACTTGGTAAACGTCTTATTTGGGAAATTTGAATTTCTCGTTTTCTCGTCTAAGACCGTCGTTCATTTCCAACAAACGCTAAATATGAGCATGAGGAGAGACATTGTCTAACATGACAACGCCCTGCACCAAACCAACGATGAACTCATATAGACGATATTGCCATCAGTCATCATTCGAGAGGCTCGATATTAAACTGCCGCTCGTTCTGGAGTACATGTTTATACTCTGATTATGCTCTAATACGAGCACGTATTTGTTTGCGTCTCACTGAACCCAGCGACGAGAAAGCTAAAGGTAAATTCCAGGAACAACTGAAGTCACACTTTATTAGTTCTCAAAACATAGCTGATCCAGGTGTTGATTGGAAAAATATATGAACATATGTGGAAACAGCAGCAACATCAATTAGTGATTTGGATCAAAGGTTCGCGAAAAACCACTGGATTTCCATCGCATCTATTGCATTCATAGACTTTCATAAACTTATCCCATCACTCTCTGGACACGATGGAGAGCGAAAATAAATCAGATCTAGGTTAACCAAAAGTCTAAGGAACGACCGTGAGCAGTAGTGGGCAACGAAATCAAAAGGGATAGAAAGGGCAGAGGCTGTAGGTACCACAAGACAGCATGTCAGTCTAATAAAAAAACAGGAATTAAAAAGTTCAGCGTTAGACAATTTCGGATAAAAACGATACTCTTACCTGCTCTCAGCCCCAACGTTTAGAACGGTGGGCAGAACACTAAATAGCAGTTCATCTGGTCTTCAGCTACTCTACAACTACTCACCATTTCTAAACAACCTTAATGGAACATTGAAGTAGGTCCCTCGAATCTGATTGAAGTTCAAGCAGCTATAGCTAATATGAAATGAAGAAGAGCAGCTGATCCGGATGTCTTTAAGTATGGTGGTCCAGTTTTAGCGATTAGGTTGACTAATATTTTAGCTAAAATCTGGGAGTTGGATGTAACCGTATCCGATTGGTCGCAATCACTGTGTTAAGTTTGTCTTACATTGTTCCTATTTGTTCCCTTTCTACTTTTATACTACTTATTTACATTGAGTAAGCAGTTGTATTCCAAACAATTTTCACACTTATGTTGTAACTCAAGTTGTACTGTAACATTCTGAAATGTTCACATATATCTTTAACGTTTATTGTATTTATCATTATAATTACTGTAACGGTTATCCACAGTTTTGCGCATTTGTTTAAATGCAACAGTTTCCATAAACTGTTATCAAATTTAGACACAGCTATCGGCTGTCTTTGTACTATCGAAGCCTTTGTTATTTTCATTCTGGAAGGACACGTTTAAACGCCTAGATACCTCACAAGTTGAGGTTTGTAACCAAATTTTGTGTATTATTTAATAAAGAACCGCTTTTGTAGACAAATCGTTGTTTTGGAACTTCGATTTTGCGCGTATCTCAATCAGGTCACTTGAACGATTCGATAGACTTAACACACTGATTGTCCCAATATATAAGAAGGGGTCGAAATCATCCTGCGATAACCATAGACAGACTAGTTTAAAGAACATGTAGAACTCAAAGCAACTGTCAACCAATATCAAAGTGAGAATCTTCAATGCGAACGTCAACAGTCAGTTCTACTGCACGGAGTTAAAACATGGAGGACTACTATGACCATCATCAAGAAGGTACAAGTATTTGTAAACAGTTGTCTACGTAAGATACTCAATATCCGTTGACCAGATACCATCAGCAACAGCGTACTGTGTGGGAGGACAACCCAGCTTGCAGCTGAAGATAAAATTAGGAAAAGATGTTGGAAGTGGATATGATATACATTACGGAAATCACCAAACTGCATCATGAGGCAATCCCTAACTTGGGATCGTGAAGGAAAATGGAAAAGAGGGAAGGTCAAAGAACACGCTGCGTCGAGAATCGGAAGCAGATATGAACAGGATGAATAGAAACTGGAAAGGATTGTGCAGGACAGGGTTGGATGGAGAGTGCTGGTGGGCGGCCTATGCTCCTCCACGAGGGGCAACAGGCGTAAGTAGTAAGTAAATAATCCAAAAAGCTGTGAAAACAACCGTGATATCTATGTAGTGGCCTTCAAATATCTGGATCCAGGTAGATCGTATGAATGATTGTTGTCAAAGTATACATCCTGACTATCCTCGTATATAATCATTGACTTAACTCACGTTAGTGAATAACGGAGTTAAATAAGTCAAATACGAGAATGAATTTCGAATACGTATATTTCATACAATCATTGATTGAGACAAACGATAGGAGAAACTAAGCGAGGGAAGCGAAGTGAAGAGAGCGAAGCAAAATGACGCGTGGTGGAGAAGGTGTGTGAGCCAACTCGATTTAACCAAGCGTTAATCGATACTCATAGTCACACAGAATAAGTTATAGGCATTTGGTGTTCACCTTGTTGTACTAATGAGGTGTTGGAACTTGGACCGATGCATATATGTACCTTTTCCTACGTTATAAATAAATTAGTTGACTCAAAAGTTTTGTTTCTTGTGCCTGTATTATAATTGGTTTTCTACTAGTATGATATTTTAATCTTATTGAAGCCACATTGGTTAGCTTCTTGTCATAATTTTTGAAACATTTCCCTATCTTTATACTAATCGGTCATTTTTACAGTTTGTCAGTTGTCAGTTAAGTTTTTGTGTTTTTTGTTCTATTTATGTAATGCAGAATTCTTCGAAATATATAATATTGATAAATGACAGTTGTTAAATATTAAGCTAATTCTGATTTAATAAGCACGATTTTTACGTATTGGCCTATTAAAGTTGTTCGTCAGTGCATCTTTTTAACTTATTTTAATCATCTAATATCAGCAATAAGATTGTTGGTTTCTGCTAATTTGTTCAACTAATTTGTCTATGAGTATAAATTATCAAGTTAGATAAATTTCCATGTTATTCCACATTTTTATTCATTCCTCAATTCTTGACTGAAAGCATAAGAGAAGCACCATTTTTCCAAAACAAAAGCCAACCTTCGAAATTTGTAAGAATAATCATTTGATAAATCGAAGTTTATCAAATATTTTCTCTTCAAGATTCCGATGATCTTTGTTTCTTCTAATGTATGGTCAAAAGCTGTTTGATTACTGAATGAAGACTCAAAAATAACTATCTCGGGGCTATTAGAATCGTCAATTATTATGAAGTACATAATTGGAAATTATAGTTAGCGAAACCAGGGTAACCGTCAACAACTCAGGTTTTGTCGAGAGAAAATATCTTCCAATTTTTGGAATACATGAGTACTTGGGGGTATTGTAAAACAACCTCTCACGGAAATGTGTCATCTTAAGTAGTAATTATATTTGTCTATTAAGCCAGTTAAATTTCCCATTTGGCAGTTTCTGTGACAGTATATTCATTTTGTACATTTCCCGACTAACCCATTGTAATACAAAAGTTAACGTTTGTAAAGAATATTATGATAGCTTCTTGGTTAAAACACAACGTTTAACCAGTAGTTTTCAAGTTTTTAAACTCTGTGTTTAGTAACCGGCTGTTTTCACTCGTCTCCATACGACCTATGAATAAATAAACTTGTGCTTGTGTGAGTCTCATTACAAAATACATTTATTTCAGAAGGTTTCTTTAAAAAAGATTACTTATCATTATCTACCTTCTAGACTTTTGATTTATAAGTTATAACTAGCTGCCCATAAAATAAATTTACGAAATATTAAAATCCAGTTATATAGTTCTTGATACACAAAACATTGCTAAGAAAGACGTATCACCATATTTATCTGTTATTATTATTAATATTATCAGTATTATTATTATTTGACAATAAAGGCTCAAGGTTCAGCTTTCTGGTTAAACTCCAATCGGTTCGATCAAAATTCTCCGAACTATTCTTCAAAATATCGACGGCGTAATACCGTCCGATATGCAGTCGACACTGTAAATCCTGTTATACCGACATGTTGGTTTAAACATCTTCCTCATGAGGTAATTCTCATATTTTTCTTTACTATGTTAATATTATCCTTATATTCATATCTAAATACCGACCTTAAACAAAGTTTCAGATTTGCAAAAGAGATAATTTAACACTTTTTGTACTACTTGTTTTTTTACTTTTGTTTTAAAATCCATATGCTAGGCATTTGTTACGAATGAAATGATTTGATTATATTGTAAGACACACCAAGATTTATTCTTTAATTCTCTTTAGTTTATTTATTATAACGTTACTAAACGTTATCGATCTATTTTGTTGTACTTGTTAATTTCATCTCTCTATGTTGGTGTGGTATGGCAACTTGTGCTGATGCATATCTATTCCAGATTCGATGTTGACAATGATTAACCATAGATCTTACTCAGCAGATTAGTTATAAGGTATTAATGGAGTCTGATTGAGGCAAATAGTAATATAAGTTTGTTTATTGTATTCTTGAGAAAAATTCAAAATTTCAACAGAATAAAAAAGTAATGAAATAACAATGAAAAAGCTTCTCTATCCAGAGTAAAAATGAAAGAAGTTTTGAATGTGGAGAATTATTACGAGTAAAAATATGAATGAAAGTTAATGGAAGATAAAAGCAGTATTATAGACGTTAAATGTTCTCACTTGAAGTGTATTATTTGTGCATATCTTGTAGAGCGATAAAATCATTTATAGAATGATATTTCAACTTTTAATAGTACCACTGTCTCTGTTGTGATAATTAACAAATATGGAGCGTCCAACTTATATTAGTAATATCTTCATGCATAGTATTTTTCTCTTTATTGTACTCTTTGTGAAATAAGTCTCCAAAGAGCTAGATATGTAAACATAACTATTATACATATACTTTGATCTAGATCAACTGAGGACCATCAGGGTGTTTTCTTTTTTCTTTATCTGACACTAAGTGCCTGTAATTGGTAAAGTTTGCTTTCAATCGTTATCTTTTAATTGCGGGACATTACTTATTCCACAGTTGCATAAGTTATTTCCAATCTCTCACGAATCTAATTACTGAGAAACTGAAAAAGTACCACCATGTAGATTTATATATTTTCTACGTCATGTATCCTTTTGGAGAAAGGAGAACCAGTAACTATATAATTTATGCATCAAATATATTAGACGATGAAAATTGATATCATTGAAGAAAGACTTATTGAAATGAATAACTTATGAATACAAATGACAACTAGTCACTGTTTTTTCTTATACCTATTATTTTCATTCTTTAAAATACCATTGTGATACAATGTTTTCGACATTTTTCACCTGTTTGTCATTAACTCAATATTAATGCACATATATATGCGTTAATATTTAGTCAGGTACTGGACTTCCTGTCGGTTCACCACTTTCTCGTTCATTTCAAAGTCATATTGCATCTCAACGTTTACACAGTGCAGATTTTAATCCTACTGATACAATTTCAGTGAATACTGAAACAATAAAATTAAAGCCAGTTATGGGGTTAGCTGATCGTTTGCTTCATGATCGTGTTCATGCTACATTTTGGCAAAGTTATTCAAAACGTATTAAGTAATTTTACACTTAGTGTTTTATTAAAAATATTAATATTTTAAATGATATTAAATTAAAATGTTAATCTGATTAGTAATTTATTTTGTACAATTATAGATAAATGTACATTTTATTTCAATAGTTTTCATTAGATTTTTTCCACTAACTTAAACATTAGGTTGGTTGACATTTTGTACTTATTCATTGTTTTTCTGGCAAACACATTCCCCAATATCATTATTTTCGTATTACTCCGCTAATTAAACAAGGATTTTTAGTCAAATATTCTTATTTACGTTCCAAAGACGCAAGTGATGTTGCATTCTCTTTATTTCAACAAAACAAGAACGAAGACAATATATGCAGACTTTTGTCAAGATTTGTCTCAAGTTATCTAGTTTTTGTTAATAAATTTTATTTCTTACAATAATAACCACTTTTTTTCCAGTTGAATTCGCGAGTCAATGCAAGCTAAACCGACATTGAAGATCTGGAAACACTGGATGGTCGTTTCGTCCTAGTATGCGACTCCTCAGCAGCGTGCATGAGGGACTCGAACCCAGGACCTTCGGTTCCGCACGCGAACATTTAATGTCTAGACCACTGAGCCTTTATCCGACGATGTTAATGTCTAACTTTAATCGATTCATCACCACTTTAACAATTTTCGTTGATTCATATTTTCTCGCTATTTTTACTGTCTTCTGGTTAGTTGTCATTTTTAGTATGCTAATTTACTTTGTGCCCCAAGTTTATGTTCTTCTGTTGTTGTTGTTGTATCATGTGTTTTTTGTTTGATTCAATCCACGGTAATTGTTAATTGTAAACGATCCAGATTATTCTAATGCTAATAGAATCTGTTGCGAATTCTATAAGATAGCTAAGAACTTCAACAATTATCTCTAATGGTGGTACCCAGAAAGAAGGAAGTAACGTAGAAGAAAAGTTAATATTAACAAAAATAAATTGAAATGGACCAGTCCTGTGTATGTGTGGTAATAAAGACACGACCTCCGTACACGGAAAATTAGCTAACTAAGAGTGGTAAAAGCTGATCTGAAAACAGCAAAGGACATGGAAAAATACAAATTAGAAATACTGTACTTAGGGTTATAATTGCAAAAAAGAACCTAACATTCATTCAGGAAAACTAGATAATCTATGATTTTCTTTAGGAGATAAATATGTAGAGAATTATTCTACTTCTATTTTATCTTAGTTAAATATCAAGCCTTTTCTGCTCTCTTATCTTCTCCCTAAATTCCCTCATGTAGTGATAATTGTTGAAGCGTTGTGTCAGTGGCCGTGTTATTGAATTTGCATTAATTTGCTTTCGTATTTAAAAAAATCTCAGTCGTTCTTAATTAGAAGACTACTTTAAACTAACCGAATCGTTTAATGATATTTAACAATTATGCAGTGCGTTCACTGTATTATGTAGTTTTCTTCTAAGCGCAATCATAGAGAAATATGTTCGGTTGATTTGAAATTTCATTATAGTGAATATATACTGCTAAATGAATTACTCAAGATAACATTAGACTCATTAAAAACCGACAACTTCATACCTTCCACATAACATAGTTGCCGCATTACACCTGCAATATATATTAGATTTTGAATTTCATGTATTTTGGGGTCATCAGTCTATGAAATCTCTAAGAGTTGGTCTGAATCACTTAGCTTCAGGCTATTTAGTTAGGATCTGCGCAATTATCGTAACCAGTAAGAGAAATGTCTCAGATGGATTCACTTTTTGTCGCTGTGCTAATTAAGCTTGACTCAACCGTTGCTGCTACCTTAACGTGGTGGTCGGGCTTGCTTATCGTGACGAACGATTCGAGCTATACTGTCTGGAACAACTGTTTCTCAAGGTTCTACCATGCCAGACAGGTCGGTTGAAGAACTATAAAACTAAAAGCAGCAAACTGAAGATCCGTAGGCGAAGTCATACTGCTGATTGTACAGAGGTGTGACGGCAGTAGGGTGTTACCCTCAGAAATTCAGAATAGCAGTTATGGTACCTTCCCGCAAAGGAATAGTGGAGTTAGAAATGGTCGACCCTGAAAGTGCACAATTCGCCTTATCCTACTGATTTCCTTCTGGAGGTAAGGTCTCAACAAGTACTGAGCTAACACGAAAATTACTCACAAAAGGTCGTATGTGACCAACCTCAAGCATTTGTCCGTTGGGCACTGCGGTCACGCTCTCAGGTCACTAAGACCACCTCTAATCCCATTTCCTTCTCAGGTACCTCCAGAAGAACCCTCCCACGATGTGGGAAACCAGGAAGTGATATCTGTCCCCATACCTCTAACAGCACTGAAGAATGGAGTGTGGAAATTCAAACGGTTGACATATTTGCCAGATTTTATGATTCATATAACTGACCGCCTGCGAACTGTTAACTATTAATCAGTATTACAAGCATGAAGTTCAGCTAAGGGATCTCTTTTCAACGAATTTATTATCTTACTGTACCATTATATGTATATGAAAATTTTTAAAAGTATTAGTTCCATCAAAACATGTATGAACAAAGAGCGAACATGATGTAATAATAAAGTTATAATACGAGATTACAAAGTGTAAATATTAACAAAAAAACATTGTGTGTGCAAGTAAAAATCCTTGTAAAATTGCTAAGTTAGCAACGAATTATAATGTGAATGTGGTAAGATAATTAAAACATTTTTGTTACCGTGATTGAAGATAACAGAGGGGTTAAATTAAATGAAGAGTTGTCAGAAACATTTACGAATAAAATCATGGGGATATGAAAAATAATTATGGAGAGAGAAGATATTTTCAAATGCGAGATGTAGTAATCATAGTTTAAGGCCTTGCTAAGGATAAGATATACTTTTTTGTATGCGCACTTTTGGCTTCATCTCATGGATAGCAAGAGCTTCTACTGTTTTAAGGAGCTATATACGAATAAATCTAGGTAGATTTGGACGAATTGTGTAAACAACCTCAAGATCAGTCAGTGGAGTGACTAGATGTTCAAAAATGGGACTTCTAACTACTTTCCTTTCACCCTTGTTGAATCACAATGGGACAGTTTACCGTATCCAATTTAGAAACAAGTACTGATTATGACCTATGTACCTTACTCCACAAGAGCATATGAGTTAGTAAACACAAAGTATTGTAGGATCGGACAACTTTACAAAATAAAAACATGTTTATCAATTGAGTACATGTTTAATGCAATCGACATTGAATAGTACAATTTTCTTGTAAATGGTTGTCCCGACCCAAAGTATGTGTTGTAAGATTCGAACAGGCAGTCTATAAATTGGGAAGTGTGTTCTCGAACCAATATGTCACTGACTTCTTTTAATGTTCTCGAACGTAAGCCAATAATAATTACGAGTATTTTTACTCTTGAAATTAGTCATATTTTAGCACTAAAGAAATTATGATTTTTCTATATTATAAACAATAATGTAACTAATCATTTTACAGATCTCAGATGGCTATTTGGTTACCACATGATCGACTATCAAAAAATGTTTTAAAGTAAGCATTTCCACACTTAATATCTTTTTATTTCTTCTCTTCTAACTTATTTGGTTTGTGTATACTGTTTATATACAAAAAGTGATATTATAGAATTGTCACTTGTCTGCAGTCGGTTATTTCATTATACAAATGATTTATTGTACTACATACAATTATTCTGTATTAAAACAAAACAGTTGTCCAATGCTTGTTGATTTCCATTTATCTAAGATCATTTCATGATGTTTCGTTGTGAAATATGTTTAGACTGTCAGTTGTTCCTTAATTCTCTTATGTATTTGTCTAATCATAGTGATCAATTGTATAATTGTAAAGCAAACTACGGAGCTATTCTACCTCAAGTTATAACCTGTGGTACAGTGTCTAGAAGAGCTGTTGAACCATTATGGTTAACTGCTAGTAATGCTGATGAAAATCGATTAGGAAGTGAAATCAAAGCTATGGTTCAATCACCTCCTGGTTATGTTTTTGTTGGGGCTGATGTCGATTCACAAGAAATGTGGATCGCTGCTTTAATTGGTGATGCAGGTGTTGGTTTCCAAGGTAATTATTATCCTTATTTATTCTGTTTTTATACTTCACCAGTATGACAATGCTTTTAGAGTTATTTTTCTATCCATTATAATAATGCTTTACCAATATACTAGTTATCGATGACAGTGTACTATAAATAATGTTATTCTGTTTTTGGAATGACATAAAAACGCTATACTAACCCGTACTGGTAAAGTCTGGTAGTGGAATAAAGAAAAATATAAAATTTCAAAATATGCTTAACTGGTTATCAATGCGTAACACCAATCATGTTATAATGTGTTGTCGTGTAATTTAGTTTACAAAAAAACCAACTTCATTTTTGTAATGATTGATCTATTTTTATGAACAGATAATTCATACTTATAGTTTGCGAAATAAAACTCTTCGATGTGCTTATTTTACAAGATATAAGTCAAAATGATTTGAACACCCGTTCACTGTTTACTCATATTGATAATGGACTATTCTGTCTATTGGATTAATGATTCTGGATGATAGATTTCAATGTAATAGAGGTGAATAAAGTCGTCTACAACGATAACTGTTTCGGCTAATATTAGCTGGGATAACTTTCTTATAGTATTTCTTATAGTAATACAAAAAAAATTGATTGGAAATTATAAGAAAACAGCAATTAATGCTTCTACCATATTGTAGCAATATTCTCTATTATTGGTTGAATGAGCCGAACTAATACGAGATATTTTTCTCAATGGTTGTTATTTGGAACAAATAAATAATAACATTAATACCGTTAGATGCTGGCTCAGTCGTCTAGTGATCAAGTGCTCGCGTGTATGACAAGTTGGCCCTGGGTTCGTGGATGCGCACTGCTGAGGAGTCCCACAGTGGTGGTTTAGCTTCAGTTGACTCATGATCTTAACTATTGAAATAATTTTTCTAAAAAAAAATCTCATATTCCTAGTGCTTTTCTGTATATATTAATCCATTCTATTTGGAGCGCTTCACAGCTAATCACTATTTTGATAAGTTGTGATTCAATGGAAAAAATATTGCAGATCAGCTTACTGTCTTTTGTTTTAGAGCATATTTCTGATATGATGATTAGAAGTGATTTTTTTAATTATCGATTTACTACTGGCTTTCATTTTCATACTCTTTTTTTGTTTTGTATACTGTGGTAAATGTTGTAATTAGATATTATTTTAACAGTATCTTTTTTTACATGAATAATGGTTTTAATTATTGAATTATAGTCAAGAGATTGGTTAATGTTTCTGCCTTTTATTTAGTTGAGATTTTAAGTCTGATTGCTGCTTGCTTAAATTGTTTGTCTGACCTCTTCTGTCATTCAAGTAATTGTATCAAATCAATATTTACTGTCATAACAATTTCCGTTGACAGCACAACACAATATACAGCGTATTAGTTTAGTATTCATGGAATTTTCAATGAATGAAAAAACCCTACTTTGTAAATTATCAGTGAAGGGATTTGTGAAAATCGTCTATTACAAACCAACCCAATCACTGAAAAGCAGGAAATATCGGATAGTGTTTTCGTCTTATTGTGGGATTTCTCAACAGTACTCAGCCATAGCCCCATGGAAAGTCAATCAAAACAGAAGTGAATCATTAATTGATCAATAACACTATGATTATTGTTGGTTAATATGATATAATGGATACACCTGCCGGATTATTCCCTGTTTCAGCTTGTATGCGTTGAGTTCATTTTATTCATGTTTAAGTTAATTGTAATAAACTCTTAGTAAATAATAATTTCAGAATATTATTCATGTATTGCTTATCTATTTTTTAGTCGTTATTATTTTTGACATAAAGACGACAGATCGAGGAAACATATTTGTAACTAAACATTTTGATGGATATCTTCTTTAAATTCCAATTTTCGAAATATGATTCCGTCAAACTTTTTTCAACCCATTATTATGATTTTGTATGTGTGTATATGTGTTTATTAACATTCGTATCAGGCTCAACTCCATATGGTTGGATGACACTACAAGGCAATAAACTTGATGGAACTGATTTACATACAAAAATAGCTAAAGAAATGGGTATTAAACGAAGTGAATCGAAGGTGTTGAATTATTCTAGACTATATGGTTCAGGCATTGAATTTGCATCGCATTTATTAGCAAAATTCTGCAATATTACTGTAAGTTGCTTTGATTCTTACCCTTTATGCAGTGTTCTTTTCAGTCATAAATTTTAAAAACACTTTCAATTTCATCTTTATTCTGTTTCATTTCTTGTGCTTATTAACTAGTATTTAGAATAGATCTTGGACTAGTTATTTTATACATTTACATTTAATTAATTACATCCACAAGAATAGCATATACCTAAGACTTACGAAATATAAATCACTTATCCAAGATTGGGATCAGTGTATTCCCGGATTCATCTTTCGTGGCAAGTTGTTTGTGTACCTGGCTAAGTAGGTGTATGAATACCATCCTGTTCTTGTAAAATCTCGGGTCACCTGTAGCTGGAAATATTCATCGCTGTGTTCGGTCATCATTGTCTTCGAACGATAGTTTACATCTGACGGTGATGTTTTATGATAGCCTTCTCAATGGCATCTTTGTGGTTCATTATTTGCGGATTCTTGAAGTGAGAAAAATAAGTGATCAGCTTATGGAATCGCACCATGACGTCGAGAATAGATGTATAAGGCTGCTATATGTTCACGACTCTCTGAATAGCGTTTTGAAGACTGCGGAACTCAGTGTGGCTCGATACGTTATTAGACATTGCTAAAAAATGCATGTGGCGGGGACTATTACATATTCAATAAAGCAAAGTGAACCATCTTAACTAACAGAAATTAATCCTGGTTGTATTTTTGATTAAAATGTGTATTTTATTAAATATTGATTTTCTCTATTTACTTATTAATCATATGGATATTTCCTTTTGTTTTTATTTCACAATATTATCATTTCGTTGTTATGAGGAATTCTTTCAATGCTCAGTCGCATAAGCACTTAAATGTTATCCATGAATAAATTATATTTCAAGTTGACTATAGCTGTTATATTGCTACTCTCTGTTTTCACTTTTTAACCATTTCAGCCAGAACAAGCTAGTTTGAAAGCAAAGCAACTTTTTCAAATTACTAAAGGACGCCGAACTATTGTGGACTCTTCTTTGCCTTCCGGAGATGGTACTTCATTATCAACATCTAAATGGCAAGGTGGAAGTGAATCAGCTGTATTCAATCAGTTGGAATCAATTGCTCGTAGTCCAGAGCCTCGTACACCATTTTTAAATGCACAACTAACTCGTGCATTGAATCCGAAACTTGTTAAAGATGATGTAAGTATTTGGAGTTTTTTTAGTTTTCTTTAAATATCTTGTTTATCATATATTTTATCATAAAATATTCTTATAGTAATAATAGTATGAAACTTTTTGTCGATTCCCGATAGTGAGCGTCTCTTCTCATATTTCAGTATTCCATAAGCGACGTAATAATGACGAAATCGACTTTTAAAAACATAATCTTTATCCTTATTGTTAAATCAAGAAAAAACTTGCCGCACAGATTTCGCTAATATATCATTACAATAAGTAATTTATATGTGTGTATCATGATCTTACTGCACAGTAATAATTCAATTTAGTTAGAAAAAGACAATGATGAAATAACATTATGATTAATCCACTTGAGTTGCAAAGGATAGCTTGCATGATAAATGACATCAAATAATCATTGGCTGAAATTAGCGCGCATTGAAATCAGTTACCAAGTTCAGGGTTGTGTGTCTAACTTTTTTATGGAAGCCTTATCATACTACCTAGATATCCAATCTGAAGTAGTAGACAGTAGATGCGTAGTTTGAATCTACCATTTCTAAGTAGAAAACCGAATGATCTGATTACCACAAACTATTTTTCTCTTCAGAAATTACGAATTACCATATACATATCATTATTTAATACGAATTATCTTTTCGAATTTTAATTGTATACTTCTTTTAATTTGTGTTTTAGTTTTTACCAAGTCGTGTAAATTGGGTTGTACAAAGTTCTGCTGTTGATTATTTACATTGTATGCTTGTTTTAATGCGTTGGCTTATAAATAAATTTAAAATTCCTGCACGTTTATGTATAAGTATTCATGATGAATTGCGATATATTTGTCCAAAATCACATATGTATCAAGTTGCGTTGGCTTTGCAAGTCAGTTTAGCTATTATTATTATTATTATTATTATTATTATTATTATTATTATTATTATTATTATTATTATTATTATCGGTGTTTAGTTCTCTCAGATCAATAAGTTATAGTATATTATGTAAATAATTGTAAAACGCTTAGCGATTTTCAGGTATAATCAGGTTGATATAGATAGCCATGTTACATGTAAAGAACACATATATGATTCTAAATGCTTTTGAAATGATACAGTTTTTAAAAAAATTTTGAGGGTACACGCGTTACATGGATTAGAACAATGTAACGCATCAGTTGGAAACTATTGATTCTTTGTAGGTGGACTAGGACGTCCTGTTGATGTAGAGATAAGGTATCCAATGTCATTTTCAGTTACAATACAGAGTAATAATAGTTTTCTCTTAGTTCTCATTTTTGTTTTGTCTTAATTATCTTTGGTGACTGGATTTCCAAATGTGTAGTTTCGAAGTGGCATACTGTACCGGGACAAATGGTTATTCTGTACCATAAGAAACAGTTAAAAGTCCGATGTCAAGTAATTGTCAGTGTCAACTGAATTATATTTTATTTCAGTAGTTTATGTACTTTTGATTAACAAAAATAATATGACTGGATTAGTTCATATCATGGTAGGAACGGATTACTCTTGAAACATACAGATTAATAAAAATATGGTATTGCTTTTAACCTCCCTCCTAGTACTTTGTGATCTACTGAGTCGTAAGTATATCTAGGGACAATAATTTATTCTATGAACTTCAAGAATTACTAATTAGCCACAAATGTGCTACTTATTGTGTTTATTTTTTTCAACTAACCTCGAAATTTCATTCATACTACTGATAATATTAAAATAAATTTCTGGAAACAATAGAAATAGCATGTTTAATTGGGATTTGTTCTGAGAAGTTATGAATTAAGATAAGATGACGTTTGTTCGATGACTTTTCATTTTCACCTCTTCTTAATCTGTTTACTCATGATACAAACTACTTTTTACTCATAGTAATCTCATCATAAAAGTTCATACAACTTTTAGTTTCCAACAAGTTTATCATCTTTACTTGTCTTTTTATATATTTTTTTCAACGAAAAACATCATTTCAACAGATTAGCAATCTACTGACAAGGACATTCTTCGCCTATCAATTAGGCATGCGCGATCTACCAGAAGTAAGTTTCTTTTCTTAATACTGACTTTTTCACCAATTGTTCAACTTTAAAATATTATTATGCTATTATTAAATAAATGATAATTGCTATGAGCATGACAGTGATAGAATTAAAACTGAATATGTTACACCATTAATTCGCTCACACACGAACAGATGATATTGTCGTTAAAGTAGGAAGACTGATAGAATGAGTTCGTTTTCTTAATATTTACTTATCTTGTTTTTTATTCATTGTACCTAGAGTTGAACTGCGTTACGTAAGATAATATACCTAATAATGTAATATATAATATATTTTTTAAATTGCGCAATCTAGTTTCGTAACTCTTTTTTAATTTTGACTCATGCAATAGATTTTACACGCCTTATTTACAATGTGAATGAATAAATTTGAAAAATAACTTGAAATATCATCAGTATTGTGAGCTGTTGTTTTTAATCATTGATCTTCATTTCATCATCAACTCCTATATTTATAAAGACTTTTACCTGTAAATCATAATTGAAATTTGTCTTCTCCTTTAAATTTTCATCAGTTTTGAGTATCCCATTGGTCAAACTAACCTAATCATCGTTGTTCTTTATAGATAGGTGTTTTATCATAATCTTGTTAGTATAAATATGTAAAATATTCTCTACACTTTTGATTTCTAGTAGTTTCTAATTTTTTTTGGAAATTTTAGTATTTGAGTTTGATCATAATTTTTTTTCTTTCAGCGTTTACTTTTCACTAATACTCTCTTTAATTTTTTTTCTTATCTGTTGTTTTCTGTCAGTCAGTAGCATTTTTCAGTTCAGTTGAAGTTGATACCTGCATTCGTAAAGAGGCCAAAGATGATTGTGTTACTCCATCGAATTCCGGTGGTTTGCAGAACGATTATGGAGTATCTCCGGGTCAGTCGTTAACAATGCAAGATATTCTTGACAGAACTGGAGGATCTATGAATTTGTAATTTAGAATTATATTTTGAACTGCCAGATTATTTTTTATCCATTTCTGTATAATTTATAGCGCCTGTTTGCAAATACTATGTTTGATTTAAAAAATTGTAGGTTTTTTATATGTCCAATTTAGTCTTATCGGTTAGAGCTAATGTTTACAGTATTCACACTTTTTGGAGTGATTTGTTACAGTACATACGCATTCGTCTCAATAATCTATACGAGTAAGTGTTGAAAAATTAGACCATATGTAAGCGGAGTTGTCATAAGGAAGATAATAAATTCAGGTAATAGCAAACGATAACCCTTACTATGTGAGGTAGATCCTCTTTAAGAAATAATTCATGGTTACTGTTCTAACGTCCCTTTGGGTAACCGGTTTACTCTTGTTCTACCTCTGTTCTACCACTGTTATGAATCCGGTGTTCATCTTGTTGTGCTGATGCGGTATGGCAACCTGGACCGATGCACATAAGTGCATGGTTCTACGTTGTAGCTGACTGACTGTTCTACCTCAGACCCTATGTAATAGTTAATTACGTTTTACTGTATTTCAACAGTACAATCTGCAATTGACAGGTTCATAGATAAATCGCGTATCACTGATATTTTATTACATAGTTTGACTCCCTACGATGTCCCAAAAATTAGACAAATTTTCCAGGTCGAACCCGGGTTATGACAACCAATCTCGAATACTGGTGGTAAAATACTATTCTCATCCTTACGGGCGATGCTAGGCAGTCAGCGCGAATGTCCTTACATTCTACTCCTTGTAACTGTATTATGTATGGCTTGATTATGGTCGTAGCTCAGTGTGAAGTAAAGTTCATGTGAAAGTTTTCTGATGTGGCATCAAACGGGTGAGCGGTATGATTGTACTTCCTTATTTTTTTCCTTGAGTTATATTCTCACTATAAAACTTCAACTAAGCTCTGTTATGACCAGAGACTGTCACTCAAAAGACACCCTCTTTATCCGCTGCTGCTGGCACCTTATAAGAGCGCCCAAAAGTAAGGTCGTAGTGTTTAGTCTATGTAAGAGCACAAGGCAGTAAAACAATCTAAAAACTCCCAAGTTGCTTGATCTTTCGAATTGGCCATTGATGTAAGTACGACCTGGATATTTTGTTGATGGTCTCCACGTGTCCCTCTGTAATTTTTCTGCATTTGGCCTACGTTTTAGAGTGCTACTTCAATTTATTTAGCCTATTAGGGCGCATAATCTCTACATCATGATTGTATCGTAAATGTTTCTTCTCGATCTTCTTAGGAAGGCTTTTAGAAAGATGACCGTTGACAAAGTTGCATGATTGTACCACAGACCTAGCTTCTTTAATATCAAGATTAATATAATTGAATTCCTCCTCAAGTATGTATCTTAGCATTCCTTCTAAATACCCTCTGAACCTTGTTTTAGTGTAAGGAACTCTGTGTTGTGAACAGCGTATCTCACCAACCAGCGACAGTGTTTTTGTTAAATATAAATCCGATATTTTCAACTACTTCTTCAACCACGTAAACGTCACGTTCGGTAATTACATTGGTTTTCTCGTCATACATGTGTGTAATTACAACAGGTGGTGTGATAGCAAGTTCATTAAAATTCTGAATCAGAATCTCTCTCAGTCTCAACTAAAGGTTGTGTATGTTGTTGGAGCTTTTAAAACTGGATCATGTAACAGCGATTTCATGCCTTTAATTCTCAGTGTATTAAACAGTAAGCTATATCCTCTTCCTTTAGTTAACAACTGAATTGACAAACTAATAATAATCTAAGCTACATCCGGGCAGTCGCCTAACAAAGTATGTATTTTGAAAAATGAATATTGTTCGTGAACTGTTGTTGTAACTACTGGCAAGTGAACCTTTTCCACGCTAAACGCATATCAACATGGTTTACTAAACTTTAGTGTACATCGGATGATTTCCATAATAAAGCCTAAGTCTATTCAGGAATTAATATTCCTTGAGGTCCCTTTACTCAGCAATTTTGGCTGTCTCTTGTAATAGAAAGATTATAATACTAGATTAGGTAATACTAATAATAACATTAGATTTAGTGAATAAATTATTTGATTAAAATATTTTTGTTACAATAATTAAATTCATAGAGGTGTAGAAATAAATAAGGTGATATGATGAGTGTTTATGAATAAAATAATGAGGATATAAGACATAAGTAAAGGTTAATGCAGTAATAATAATGCTAAAACAATAATAAGGCCAAGGTAGCGATAAGACGTGCTTCTTTTGTACGCATAGTTCTGGTTGGAGCTCATATATAGTAAGAGCTTCGTCTATTTTTAGGAGTTGGACACGGAGAAATCTAGGTAGATTTGAACGAATAATATAAACAACCTTAAATTAAAACTGTGGATCCGTAGAATGATTAGTCCATTAGGTGTTCAAGTATAAAACTGCTTTCCTTTCACCCTTGTAGAACCAAACTGGGGTACGTTTTCATATCCGAGTTAAAAGCGACCGCTGGCTACGGCCAATGTACCTTGCTACACAAGAGCAGGTGAACTGGTAGATGCACATGGAGGCGACCAGATGCGGAAGCTTATCTTTTATGGATACAGAAAATAAGTTTCCACTAGTGGAGGTTATTCGCAGTTTTGCCGCATTAAATGTTCTTTTAATCACTGTCGTTAGGCGATTTTTGATTACGTCAGATGTTCAATTGCTTTTAGGTTTCAGACTTAGACTTTTCTTTGGGACGGAAAACTAGATTTCTTGTCGCAACTACTTCTATTCATGTTCTTCTCTATGGAACGGTCCAGGTAGCCATTTTTCGTCAAGGTTTTCCTGAGGAATGAGAGTTCTTCGTCAATGTATTCCGTACTGTATATCCGATGTACTCGGTGACATCACGAGTGGATATGGTTTCTCTTTCTACTCAAAGGAACTCAGCTATAGAACTTGGTTAGCTGGCCATTCCATGTTTTTTTTCTAAAGATGGATCTTTTCAAGGAACCATTAATCCCCCTCATCAGATGCAGATCGAGAAAAGAGATCGATTAGTCTCGCCCACTCTCTAACGTGAAGTCTATGGAAGAGTGGCATGAGTTGAAGGTGCGTAAGATAACCTTTAATCCAATAATATCATTACAAACGACAAATGTGTCGTCCATGTATCTTACGTATAGGTGAAATCGATTAATCATTGAACTGAGTTGGTTGTTTTATAGCTTTGCTATGAAACAGTGCTAAAATTGAACCCAATGAAGACCCCATTGCGATTCAATCTCTTTGTCTATATATTTCATTGTTAAAACGTAACTGGACATTAAAGGTACAACAACAGTTCTTTCAAGTATTTAGTCAGCAAACCTAGATCTATGTTGTTAGAATCAATATACTCACATATATAGCATATCGTTTCGGTTAAAGGTACACTAGTGAATAAACATTTAACATCCAGCGAAAACATGTGTTTTCTGGAAGTATTAATGTTCTTAATACGATCAATAAGTTGAAAAGTATCATGAATAGAATATTTAAATACTTGCCTTCTAACTCGTTCCAATTTTTAGCTAAATACTGGGCGATTCGGTGGTGTGGTGAACTCGACATATCCAAATTAGGTCGTAACGGTAGGCCAGGCTTATGCACTTTCGGTAGTTCATATAAGTGCAGGATGGTTGAACCCATTGGACGTTTATGATAATGTAAATTTGGGGTTATTATCCCCTTATTCTTAAAATTTCCAACAACATCTGTTAGTTGTTTTTCGATTTGCAGTGTTCTGTCTACTTTTCCTATGGGTTTGGAAAATTAAATAACATCCTCTATGATTAACCTCATCTTATCCAAATATTCTTGGTGGTCAAGTAGTACTATACTAGCTCCGTTTTCAGGTTTACATAGGATCAAATCCTTATTTCTTTTCATTAGCTGATCAAAATGGTTCCTAGTTAATAGGTTATTCTTACTATATTGAATATTAACGTATTCATGACTACAGTCCGGTAATGTAGGTTTAAAATGCTGAAGATCTTGTGGGGATATCGGCACAAGATCATGGGACATACGTAATTTCTATATAGGTAGATCAGACCGCATCACACTTTAAAATGAGAAATCACAGTTATGCAACATCGAGCCAAGGGTGGCTGTGAGCATGGGAGACTGTAACTGATAAATTGGAGACGAATTGACGACAGTAAATCGTATAATAGTACTCATTTAATCAAATAAAGTCCGTATAATATAAGGAATAAATATATGTACTTCCAGGTTTTCAATGGTGGTCTAGCTTCAACTGACTCATGATTTCAATCTGTGAAATTTCCTAAAATTCTCCACAAAACTCATTCTAATATGTAATAATAGTCCATAAATAATTACCGAAAGTTACGAATAATTTATTATTCGGACATCCCAAGCAACCAATAAAGGGGAAATAAAGCGGACGAAAGTGTAAATGTCGCTTTTTCACCTTTACGGCGGTTATTTAGCGGAAATTTTTTTAATATAACAATGCATTCATCTCCTCATAACGAGCTCACCTTTATCCACTTCTGCTACAATTGGTGAAGTGAACTCTTATATATTAATCACAAACAGTAAGTCAGATCTAAGTCATGTCCCATTATCGAAGGTGTCAAAGCATTCCTATGTATACTTACGAGTTTTTCATATCCTTTCAGATTTCTTTAGTTTGATGATCTTGTTTTTCATAGTCTTAAGTACATTTCCTGCAGTCGTGTGAGACCTTTCAAACCTCTAACTGTGCGTTCTTCTAGCTTCGTTATAGTTCTCATTAGGCAAAAGCGTTCTGCAACACTTAGTAGAGCTTGCCGATGCTCTTGTTCATTGTCCTGTAGTGACGTACTTTTATCAAGAGAACGCGATTGGTTTAATAAAGACAATTATTGTTATAACCGATTGTACAAGTGATTGTCTTACTGTACTTGTTTGCTTGACAGTACTAAAGATATTCATTCTTCCGTTGATTGCGACCTTGCACGTGCTCACGTTTGCTCAGTGATTCCGCTTGTACTCTTTTGGCACGATGTTGATATTCTTTCGACACCATGAGGTCGCCAACAAATATATCTCGCTACAACCTCCAATCGCCTTCTCATATTTGGTACGCAACTCTCTTGTAGTGGTGATCAAAGTCAAACGCGACTCGACGCCACACTACAGTCCCGGCAAACACACCAGTTTCATTTCACTAATGAACATCTTTTGTTATAAGCCAGTCTGGGATTTCCACTTAATTATTTTAAAAAACATTCGTAGAACCTAAAGTGTACTTTGCTGAGCTTGATATTGAATTTTGATCTTCAAGTCATAATCCTAAAGCTAAACCTAGGATGCATCAACGTAAACATACGTTCTAGTCTGTCCGCAGACTTGGTCATCTTGAAAATAACCAATTAATGCTGCATACAAACCCAGATAGAGGTGAAAATTTGCTATTTAAATACCAGAGTCCCGGATTCAGTCGGCATTAAGATCTCATATATATCCAAACTTAACACTAAAATAATTGAATTTTATTTTTAGACTCTTATTTTTTGAGTCTTGAAACTTCAAAAAAATCAAGAACGGTTATAAAACTAGATTTCGCAATTTAAAAAATATATTATATATTACATTATTAGGTATATTATCTTACGTAACGCAGTTCAACTCTAGGTACAATGAATAAAAAACAAGATAAGTAAATATTAAGAAAACGAACTCATTCTATCAGTCTTCCTACTTTAACGACAATATCATCTGTTCGTGTGTGAGCGAATTATTGGTGTAACATATTCAGTTTCTGTTAGTGCATTTAATGATTAATATATTTGAAAAATCATTAATACTTCCTGATTCGATAAGGCAAATTCAGTGAAAGTAGAGCATACATAAATTCTGGAAGAGACAGTGAGATAGATAAGCCACTTCAATTAAGTGAACATAGTCTGTATAAACTAAAAGTGTCTCACAACAAAAGTAATAAGACGTTAATTTGGTGTGTTTTACTTCAAGAACTTTATGCATTTTTCAAAATAATATTATCCATTTTCCAATCCCAATATTGGAAAGGAATCACTACATCATCTCATTAAACTGAACGTGAATATATTCACAAAAGAAGTTTCTTTCAGAGTTTGTAGTGACTCACTTTTATTACGAGAACACTATTGGTTTATTGAAAACAGTGATTATTATAATAACCAATTGTACCAGTGACTGTTTTAATGTGCCTTTGATTAACTGTGCTAAAAACATCCATTATCCTTAGACTTTGATTGTGACTTCGCGCTAATTCGGTTACGTTCTGTAACCAAGCTTGTATCCTGGCATGATCTCGGTATCCTTTCGATACCACGAGATCGCCAGCAAATATATCTCGACTTGGTCCATTAACTGATATCTGATATTTGGCTTCCGAAGGATTTTATGGAGTAATTTGTCACGCGTTTCTTGGTAGCGGTGTTCATAGTCAATTGCGACTCGACGCCACGCCATAAGTTCTTATCAAAAATAAGTAAACACCATAGAAAATTCGTTATCACCCACAAAATCGTTGTTAATAAATGCCCTGTGGCAACAAACAGACCGAGTTATAACACGAAAATTTAAGGAAGTCATCAGTGAAGATCATCATTTATCACAGTCAGCATCCGTACTTCATCAGTTAGCCTATTATGCAGTGGAATACTAATAGATTGATTTCCTTCAAAGTTTATTACGAAAAAGGAGATTGAGACAACAACTCATTCATTCACGTGTCACGTACAATCTGCATAGAACAAAATAAGCATTTAATACGCTTAACACTGTCGTTCTCGCTATATCATAACAAAAAAACCTTTACAAAGAATTCTAAACGACTGTGTAAAACATCAAAATCTATTCCGCCGATTCTCATTGTCTTTTCTCCATATTACAGACACCCCCTACAAAAATAATGTTATAAAACGAAACAAACAAACATAAACGGAATTAAGTAGACTAGGAGCAGTGTGGTGGTGAAAACTACAAGGATGGCCAACCTGTGTATCATCTTTGTTTAGTACATAGGCTGAAACAAAGTGGGATACATACACAACTAACAACAATCACAACTGCTTTGATATAACTCACCAATTACAGATTCCTGTACTGGGTTTACAGAGACACACCTCACATGTGTGTAAGAGAGTCTGTGATACTACCGAACTGCATGAACTAAAATAAGTGGAGCAGGACTCGGACTGGATTGGAACTACGATAGGGTAAATTGCATACATACAGCATAAAACCTCTCTGAACCCAGCACACAACAATAAAGTCGTGTACCATAGCATTCCTGTTGGCTGACCAAACAACCCAGATATAAGAACACGATTGAAACATTCAAAAAACTGGGTACTTCAACCGCAATCTTCACTTGCGAAGCCACAAATGACCCTGTTTTCCAAAACACAAACGAACTGGTAACAAGGGAGTGTACAGGCAATTCAAACTATTAAGGAATATATGCACAAATGTAGTAAGAGAAGACAGGTTTCAGTACCAGATACAGCTTATCGATAAGTTTGTCTCCAACTCGAGAAGCTTATTATGCCGTGCAGCTTTTCTTAGACAATCCAAAACTGAAGTTTCCCAACTGCTATGTCCTAACGGCCCGACCAATAACGACGGTGACGCCGTCGACCTTCTGGCATAACGGCACTTCCGGACATTTCAATCGACCCACATTAACAATATTGATGAAAGCTTCATCTGTGACTGCACGGGACTTTTTTCCGAATTGAACCTGAACACTGACTTGATGTACCGAAAACTGCGGCACCCAAAAAAGACAATTCTCTTGGTCCGGATATGGTTCATTCTGCTATGCTAAGCAAAGCAGCTTCAATTTTGGTAACGCCGCTCGGCGTGGTATTATCGCACTCGCTAAACCGAGGCACGTTATCGGAAATTTGGAAGCTGGCTCACATCACACCAGTTTTCAAAGAAGGTCGATGCAGTGAAACTTCAAGCTAGTTAACAGTGGCTCTTCTCTTCGTACCTTCAAAAGTAATGGAGTTCCTAATATACGACTGTATACACGACAATTCATTGTCTTTAAACTTCTTCTCACCTCAGAAGCATGGTTTCAGGTTGTGTCGTTTTTGTATAACCACCCGCCGACCAAGATGTACAAATGAACAACCAACCCTTGTCTCAAGAGGAAGTTCGACTTTATTCACCTCGACTTCTAAAGAGCGTTTGATGGGGTTATCCATATATGTCTTATCAATATGCCTAAACGACTAGGTATCAAGTCATCTTTAATTGATTGGCTCACTTCATATCTAGAAGATCGATATTTTAAGGTCAGGTTTACCTTCCTTTTCTCTAAGTCTATCGAAAGTCCTGGTGGTGTCTTCCAGAGTTCAGTACTAGGAATTCTTCTTTTCTTGATCTATGTAAATGATCTTCCACAACAGGTATCGTCTGACTTATTACTTTTTGCTTCAACGTGTAAAGTAGTCCAACTGAGATATGTTGCAGACTACAGTTACAACATAGGCATCTCTCTGGAAGTATTCCAAAACGAAAAATATCTGGGAATAATGGTGTACTATGTTCTTAGGCTAACTGTGACAAAAATGCTTTTCGAAAAAACCCTGCGCTACTAACGCTGAAGCTCGTTTTGGGCCAGTTCGACGGAGGCACTTTCTACATGATCTCCAACAGCTTTATTCATCCCCATTTAGAATACGGAAACATAGTATTTCCTCCCTCACTGCAAAAGGATAAGAACACTCTGGAGCGTATCCAACGGCGAGCCACAAAATCAATTCGGCGACTTAAATTCAAGCGCCTCCAATCGCTGAATCTTTACCCATTAATGTACAGGCGACCTGATGGTTTTTAAGAATTAAGGATAATATCTTACTATGATTAACCAATTTCTTTTTTCCTCTATTATCGTTAATATACCTGGGTTCCTGCCTGTAAGTATCGGTGACCAATTGCTACTAGATACGGAAGCTCGTTAAACGAAAGCTTCTTCTATTCCGTTTGCAACTACATGAACCATTATGTCGACGGGTTTCTGGTCCAGCTAGTGCTGACTTCCTTTTTATTGTATATTCAAAAGACATATAAGGTCTTACTTGAAATTCGGTATTGTTGTGACTACGAGCACTAATTAACAGATTACGTTGCATCACTGACTCTAGTATTACCTTAAGGTATATCTAAGGTCGGGGTTCAACGCTATCGTCGGTCCTCTTACGTATTCTTGCTCATTCTTAGATTAAGCGAACTATTCCTTCAAAAGGTAACTACAGACTTGAAGCTGTACTCTACTATTAAGTTACAGGCGTAGAGAAATCATTTTGTTTATACGAGCTCACCCAAAAATATTGGTTATTGACTCGATAGCGTTAGTGACATTGGTGCTAATCGTGTAGGTCATGTTGTTTATTACCCGTGTCCCAAATAACCGTGTTTTCTCTTGCATTTTTTCCCGCGCTTGTTTACAAATCAACAATATTTTAGTATTTACAAGTGTTATGACACTATTTTGCCGAAAGGTATAGACAGGTCACCCAACCTCTGTGAGTTAGTGAAACGCTAATTTACCGACGCGTTGTTTGTGAATAAGCAGTTGAAAAATTCAACCTACATATTAAATGTTAGACAGTTTGGCGTAAATTTGGGCGGAATTTAGATAATTCGGTGAACATTTTGGCAACTACTATGTTGCTGAGATGTAAATTATTATATTTCTACCTGAATTAGCACTGAATTCCCTAAGCTGGTGTTGCCCGTATCTTCCCAAAGTCCGCCTTTATTTCCCTATTGTGTAATTGGAAATCAGTTTTTACTAGTTTTTCCTATAAAAGAGCAATGCGAATACTCAAAGCTTGCTCAAGACTTACTGGAAAGCATTATTTGAACGAGAAAAGTTTTGAAGTGTCAGTTAAGTGATAAGTATTCAGCGCACCAATATATTTCTGATTTTCCCCCGAGGGATGTAAGTATTACGAAGATGTACATATGTTCTTATTTCCACATGACTTCAAAAATCATTTCCATAGCTTAAACATACAAGTCGACTGTCTTGAGTTCAGGACTGGGTGTTCGGAAATGTTATTGCTGTCGGCCTCATGGTTTAGATATGTTTGGTTAGACAACCAGAATTACATATAGCTTGTCCCGTCTTTCTCCTTTTAAATCCTTAAGAACTTGCTAGTTGTCATGACTCAGAATAAGTTGTAATGACGCAGATTCACTTTCTATTTTTATCTCTAGATCTTGAGTCCCAGTGTATCTCCACCCATATTTTTTTATCCTTTCCCAACGTTCAGTTTGTCTAACTCCCAGTGCTACCACTAGTGTTCCGAGTTTTGATATTCATCTTATTTACTTTATATTGTGCTGGTTTGGTCTCGTAACCAGAATCTACTTTATTTACTACTGCTTTGCATCTTTCTCTGCTAACTCGTTTAGTTTTGTCAGTTTTCTGAGTTCTTCAGTTGTAGCGTCGGAGTTAAATTTGTTAAACTTTCTCAGCAACCTGGTGTAATGTAAATGGTTTCCTTTATTTGTATATGCTGACTTATATTGTAATAGGTATTAAAGTACCTTGACACTTATAGAATCTGACACCGTTCTTCATAGAAAAGGTTGACATTTTGGGTAAGGAGGATTGTGATAAAGCAATAACAGTGTGATCATTTCGATCGTATAATGTATGTCATCATATTACTCGCCTAATTTTCTTGTTGATTTATTTAGAAGTACTACTAAAACCTATCAGTACGAAAAATCATATAGCTCCTACCCAATACAAATGAAAAATGCAAATGTACCATCCTTTGATGCATTCGATGCGCTGATGATTGAAATAATCAAATATTCAAATTCCGTTTCAAGTGATGTATTGTTTTTTCTGATAATTTCCATTCCTCTGATATTTTAAAACTCTAGGATTCGGATATTCGTTTTCTTGAATCCCTTGGTGTAAATGTAAGCGAAAAGTTAATCGAAAAGTTTGTGTATTTGTTTTCTAACCTTTCATATTAAGAGCTACAAAAGATCATGCCAGGTTTATCAACGAATTAGATATTGTTAAATATGTATGCACAGAATTTTGGTCATCCGTATACCACAAACAAGTTGATACGCTTAAAACCAATTATCAAGTATGGTGACGTTCCTACTTATAAATTAAATAGGATGTTTACGTTCTCATTGTTAATGATTTTCAGCCTTTAGTGAAATTCGAAAGTATCCCAGAAGGTATATCAGAAATCCCGAAGGTAAACTTATGAATACTTTTATTGTGTTTTTAGTATCTGGCGTTCCCTTCAGGACTTTTGAAAGGAGCTTTATGTAGTCTAGGATTGAATTGTGTTGTGGCAGCAGATTGTGAACAACCACCTACATGTAAGTCTGCCTATAACAAAGTCACTCTTAGTAACAGGTAAATTCACAGTTACAGTGCTTTCTTACAGAGGTATAAGCTGAAGTTGTGAACATATTTTGTTATTTGTGAATTAAACTGGCCTACTTATATATTTCTGATTTTTATTAAACCGAGTTTTCTAATGTATTATGATTTGTGATTTAATTTTAGTCTTGCACAAAACAACTCTCCCATTTATACTGTTATCTATGTTCCATAACCAGAGCGACCGACAACGTCTACTTAAACGATCACTTATACTTGGTGTAACGCACCTTTATCTAATTATCAACCATAAAATAGTATCCAGTTTGTAAGCGTGACTTTCTTATTGATTTTATTGCATCCTTCATTATTGTTCGAGTTCCGCCTTTGACTATAGCTACGCGAAGATTGGTTTTACAGCATTGTTAACTTGCTTGAAGATTACATCTATTGGGGAAATAGGATCTAAACCTGCTGGTATTTTCCATAATATTTTCTGTCTGCGAATTTCAGAGACGGATGATCGATTGTAACCATTTAGCGGAACAAAAAATATCTGAGCACACCGAACGATGACTGGCAAATCCAATGATCACTCATGTGTACTATCAAATGCAGAAAAACCAACAGCCAAAATTTAATAAATAGGAATCTATCGAGCTACTTTATTGTAAAATGGTTGAATGTATATCTTAGTCGCTAGGTGCTTAGTGGGTTGGATTTGTCCAAAATTTGCTTCTATTTAGGCTTAATGGATAGTGGATGCCTGAAAGGCGTTCAAAATAACTGACCAACAGCGAACACCAGTTCTACTTCTCTCTCAAGAGGTCACTACCATCAAACGTTTCTAAATTAACTGTACGGAAAGGATACACGATCAACTCCTATATATTTTAAATATAATCACATGGTTTTGTCACTTAGTCTTATTTGTAATTGTTCACTAATTTTATTGAATAATGTGTACTTACACTTGTTAGTCCTTGTGGATGAGCATAGGCTTTCCAATCATTTTTATTATGACTGGTTTCTTAGCAATTTGTAGTACAATGTTTATTATCGTATTGTATCTCTCATTATGATTAGCTTTTATATATTCTGAACATTTCATTTTCATAAACTAAGCATGTCAACTCTTTGTTTTTGATCATATTGTTCTTCACAACTTGACCTTGCCTGTAACTTACGAGAACCGTTAAAATAGAATAAATTCATTTTACTTTGCAAATCTTGTTTTTCTTGCTTTATTATAATTTATCAAAGAATGTACAAAATCATATCAATAAGTCGGTCATAATTTCATCGACTTAGTTGTGCCAGGGTGTGTGTTAATTAAGTTGAAGAAAATATTACTATGCATTGTTTGGCGGGACTAGTTGACTAACAACTAGGCATCATTCCTTGAAATCACTAACTTCTATTCTGAGCCATGTTGACAGACACTGCTTGGTTGGCGTCCGCGCAACTATCGTAACCAACAGTTGAAGATTGGGTGACATGGCTCAGAATCGACCATAATGATGTAGGTATATACTTCTTGTCTTTTAAACCGTGGGATTAAAATTACTTCATACCTTTATTTCTACGAGCTAATTCTTTCTTCCTGCATCATATCCTTATATGCAATCCTTCTTTTAGATATTACTAGCATTGAAGTGTTTACGTTGTGGTGATGAGGTGTAGCAATTTGGACCGATGCATATATGTGCCTTTACAGTAAATGGATTTGTGGACATAGATTTTAGTGTACAGGAGATGGTTACGTGTAGTACGTAGTGATTCATCATAACTTTTTAACAGACTTTAATAACTAAGATATCATGTGACTAGTGAGCCATTTTTACCTTTCTAACAATTCTTGATAAGTGATGATGACCTTTAGTACAACACCTTGTAATCCTACGATTACACATCTTAATGTGCTTGTGTGTGTCTGGACACTTATAATTTTATCCAGTGCTTATATCCTTGTCACAATAAATTATCTATTTTGAGTCATATTAACGCTTGCAGTGAGTAATATTTTAAGTGGACAGATTTGTTTTCACCTCTTATCTTGCTGTCTAAAATAAATTGGTTCAGTTTAGCCTTAGTAAAATATGCAAAATCAAGCGGTGATTTTTTATTGGTGGTTCACTTTTCGTTCGTTCCTTCGTCATTCATTATGGAGTCAAATCGCGGGCACAATATATGTACTGACAAAATGAAGATGGGATTTTAATAACGACATAAAGCCTGAAATTAGCTTATTGATATCATAGGATATTGAGGTGTTGAGTTTAAAATTTCATATCACGAACTCACTTTTGCTAGGTAAATATTGAGGACCACTAAACAGTTGTTTTGTCCTGGTATGAGACTTCAGTAGTCCACATATACGTCCTCACCAGGGGTCAGATCTTCCAGTTACGTGGCGCTGGCTGTTTTTTGGTCAGACTATATCCGAACCAGCACAAATTGGAGTTTTTCGAAATTAATTAATGGAATGTGTCGTATAATACGTATAACCTAGCGTGTAGGTACTGTTTTGTGTTGAAGCGTGTGAATCCCTGTCTTTTGCTTGTGTTGTAGAAAACTCCAAATCCATATTTTGAGTTGTACTTTGAAGGGCGATTTTTCAGTCACGATCCATGTGTTGTTTGTGCTTCTCAAAATGAATCCTCACCCAACATTTCTTAGAGAAGTCATTAAATCATAAAATGTTTATTGTATTTTCTCAATAGTTATTTGTGATAAGGTTGGTCGCCTATTCGAAAGATGAAGTAGTTTAGCAGTAAGTAGATGTAGTGAGTTAAAGTCGACGTACGAATATCAATCTCTCGACTTCCGGTAGATCATGAAGACTACTGTTCCATCCAAACTTCTCATGACTCGCTCGAAACCTAGCTACTACTAAGGCTAATAATGATATAATAATGTAAGAAATCGGGAACTAGTTCCTTCACTAATTGTGATTAGGTTATGAGGAATTGTCTCACGGTTCCTTGTGGTCGGTCTTGATTGTAATTTGTTAGAAAGTGTCCTTTCGTAAAAATGCTTTGGAGTGGCATACATCTTGTCCGGTTATTGCTTAGAACTCGATAGTCAGAAATCTCACGCGGTTTGTGACTGTGATACCTAATTCATTATTCCGAGAAGCTTTAAAATAGAGGATAATATTTGAAATCACTTCGGATGATCATCTGAAATTACAAGTCAGTATTCTCTTAAAAGCCTCATATTTATTTTCGGCAAACTAAGTGAGCTTTGACACACATGTAGTGGTGCGTCAATGCAATTGCGTCTTTCGAAGGACTATTAACACTTGTAGTAGACGACTTTGGGTCAAGAAACAATCTGACACACACAGTTTGTGCTTTCTGCTTGATTGCAGTGTCACACCATTTAGCGTAGTGTCATAACTCTCATGTTGGTTAGCAAACTCAATGTCACTTTATATTGGCATTTTCCATGTAGGAACTTATACCTCGTTGTGTGAGATATCACGGCACTAGATGAGTTGCCGCGTCATCTACTAAGAGTAGTCTGTAGTGTGCATAATATAAAATGGCGGGAAGGTAGATCACTCAAAGTCGATCGTGTTTCCTTTTCCACTACTTCGAACGGTGGGTACTTCGTATTTGAAGTCGGTTGCACGGTTTCTATGTGTTTCGAAAACGTTTGGTTCAATAGCTTTGTTGGGATGTCTCGCTCTTAGAGCGCGATATGATTATCAATATGAACGGACCATTAGTGAGTCATGAACATCAATTCTCCGTTTAATCCCATGTATCATGCTGATGTTAACCTCATTGGGAAGCGGTGGTAATAAAAGCCAAATACAAATTGAGATGTAATATGTTATTTCAAACCTTCATCAACCCAGACAGGCTAAGAAATGCTATCAAATGGGAGGCTTTTCAGACTACTCAATTTGATTAAAACATTTTTTAAGTGTGAAAGTTACAAAAAGTACATCGTACTGCTAAACACATGTCCAGTGTCACACATACGAATGTCAAAATAACTGGGAACATCAGAATACTCCAGTTTCCAAAGCAAAGGTAAACCGTATGGGCGTGTAACAATACTGAAGTGGTAAACGAATTCTCAAAATCAATAGTTTTGTGGGTCTTGGACATTTGATGCTAACCTCATTAGTTTTACTGGACCCACGTAGATGAAGGCATTCGGTAACACCGCACCAGCAGGTGCTCTGTTCTACGCACCCCTACAACTGTAAGCCAGCTTGGACCAAACATTTCTCGAAATACCGATAGCCTTCCAAATATATTTTCGAACTCCTTTATTCTTGACTTCTGGTTTGGCTGGGTTAGCATACTTCGATTGTGAAGTTGTTGCTGGTTAATGCATTGTTGAACTCCGAATACTTGTGTATGATGATTAGGAGTATTTGAATTATAATACGAACTAAGAATCCCAGAAGTAACGTAATCGGATCAAGAAGTACTAGATAAGCATGAACGGATGTACTGTATTTGGAATTCGAAATCAAGGATTCAAAAAGTACAAAGGAATCATTAGTTCATTCAAACGTCACATTCGCCACAGTTTAATTTGGAGTCTACGTGTTTGTAATCAATTGTACGTCTTCTTTTCAAGCTCATCCTGAGTCTGTCAGACAGTGTATTGGATAAGGACTCTGTTTTATCTAGAATGTACTCATTAGCATTAGAATTAACAACCGAAATTGGAACAGACTCACCTGGTTCCTGGAATTGTATTTGATCAACATGTCGATTGTGTGCACTTAAGTCATTGATATCTAGAATTCGCACCATAGATTTCCCAACATTCTTCAGCACAATAACCATGGATGGTCGAAGATCATTTCTACGATAATATGTAACTTCTGCAGACTCCAAACAACTCATAGTTGACTGAAGAATTCTTCCTTTTCATAGCTTTGATGGAGTCTCTTTCGTCACCGATTGTCTAGTATTTCTATATTGCAGCAGAAAGGTGTTTACTCCCCTCTCCAGCTCATTAAATTTTGAAGCGGCAATAGAATCAGTAGCAGTTTTCAATGTTATGACAAAATTTTCTGCCTGACTATTAGAACAGGGATGTCTGGGAGTAGTAAACAGGTGTTTGCACCCTATACTATCCAACTAGGTAGTGACTGCATCTGCAGCAAAATGAGAGCCATTGTCGATCACTAACACCATGGGCACCCCTTCTCGACTAAACACCTTTCTTAATGCTTGGATTGTGAAGTCAGAATTTGGTGAAGTTGTAAAAAAACTTCAGGCCACTTTGAAAAAGAATCAATGACTACAAGTGCATAGTATTTGCCAAGAAACGGACCACAATAATCTGCATGAATTCGCTGCCAGGCCTCAGATGATACTGGCCATGGAGCCTAATTTGATGGCTGATTTCTCAACTGATGCCATTTTTCATAATTGTTTGCTTTATGACATATATCTGCATTTATCTCTGGCCACCAACATGTGAAGCTTCCCAAGGACTTCATTTTCTCAACTCCTAAATGACCACTATGAAGATCTTCAAGGACAGATGTACCCAAAGAAGGAGGAATAACAACACGATCATTTAAACACAAAATACCATCAGGAGTAGTGGATATCTCATCCCGCCTTGAAAAATAGACAAAAATCTACGTTTCAGATTAGCATTCCAGCCTTTCCGTATAGCACTGAGTATACATCTAAAGTATCTACGAGTTTATCTAATGGAGTCTGGATGTCTCACTGGTAAAGGTTGCACTAACAAACAGTATGAAGTATTTACAGGTCTATTTTGTAATGATTGTCCAGAAATGTAGTCAACGTGTTGAATTTGTTTGGCACTTCTGTGCTGAACCGTATAGTCATATGTACTCAAAGCAATACTCCATCGTTGAACCATAGAAGCTGAGGAACGTGCTAAAGATTTTTCAGGATGATAAATAAACTTTAAAGCTTCATGCTCGGTAACAATAGTAAATTTCTTTCCGAATAGATATTTATGAAGTTTTTTAACAGCCCAAAACACAGCTGAGTCTGTGAATAACCTTGTTCAGTAACGGTAAGTTTGCATGGAACACAAATAACTGGTCTACCGTCCTGCTCCAAAACTGCGCCAATACCCGCAGATGATGCATCAGTAATAAGTACATAATGTACATTAGGGGTGTAAGCTCGAATAACAGCATAACTTTGAAGAAGCTTTAGTAGACTTCGTAAGCATGACTCTTGTTCCTCACTCCATTTGAATGAATTTGAT